GCTCGTTTTCGTCCCGTGTTCGTCCCGTCTCCGTCCCTTCCCCGTCTCGTCTTCCTCCAGTTTTCTTTATTTTTCCCTCGTCTCTGTCTCCGCCTCCGTATACGTCCCGTCTCCGTCCCCGTCTCCGTCCTGTCTCCGTCCTGTCTCCGTCCTGTCTCCGTCCCGTCTCCGTCCCGTCTCCGTCCTGTCTCCGTCCCCATCCCCACCTTCTGGTCTTTTACACCGTCCTCATGCCGTTCTGGTCTCATATGAAGGCGATACCGGGCATAGGGCAATATACCGTTGCTATCCTGCTCCCCGTGATGCTTATATGCATTACCATTAGATGTAGCCCGTCGGGGGACGGGGGTGGGGAGGAGGGGGGGGGGAGAGGGGGCACATGGGAGCGTCAATTACTGATACAGAGCTGTGAGGTCAGCTGGACAACCCAAAGCAGTTCATGAGAAATGTGTTAGGCTGGTTTGTAGTAGGTATATTTACTAGTTCATATTCGTTTTAATTGTAGGTATGTACATAAATACGAGTATACAATTTTGTTAGAATCCTGCCCAGGTGTATCGATGTCTTATTGTCATTTATGCATTCGCATATTTGACTAGTCTCCTGAATCATTTATTCTAGGTGATCTGTGACAAATATTGAGTCGTACGCTGCTGTCTCCGATTGCAGAATGAAGCCGAGTGCGAGGGCATGTATAAAAGATGCATGATATGTGCAATAATCCAATTGCACTATGTCGACCGCCGATTATTGACACGCGGCGTAAGATGAATGACATGGGCTGGGAAGCGCAGCGGGGGCCGAACACCGCCGTCCAGCAGCCACTACCTATCTGATAGTGTGTCTGTCTGTCTGTCTGTCTGTCTGTCTGTCTGTCTGTCTGTCTGTCTGTCTGTCTGTCTGTCTGTCTGTCTGTCTGTCTGTCTGTCTGTCTGTCTGCCTGTCTGTCTGTCTTATTTCTCGGACAGCTGGATCGGTCTGCACGTCTGGCAGCCCTCTCCCCTGCACTATGTATAATGAGGATTGGATGCAGAACCGTTTTTATAGTCACCTGCATTGTGCAGCTCTCTCTGTCTCTGTCTGTCTGTCTGTCTGTCTGTCTGTCTGTCTGTCTGTCTGTCTGTCTGTCTGTCTGTCTGTCTGTCTGTCTCCTCTTTTTCTCTCCCTATCCCGTCCTCTCTAGGCTGTTTCATTGGCCGATCTCCTGTCACGTTTTACTGTTTATTTGATCGGTCACCATCAGAGCTTCTATTTCTCCCCGAGGTCGGGGTTTATTGCCCTAGGCCCTAGCTTGATGCCTTTAGCTTCCCTCACTCACATTACAGCACTGAGCTCCATTGAGTTTGGTGGTCCATTTCCAACGACAGACTTCGTTACTCCCCGACAATTGACCAACAGTGCTCACCATTTGCATTGGTGGGCAATGGTGAGCTCTACACACGAAATATCACAAATGTTCGGGTACCTGCTCTACTGATTTTTGACTTTTGGAGCGTGCTGATCCGCCGTACAAAAGCATCCGCCTGAACCAAGCAGAGGGGCTGCGGAAGGCAGAGTGAGGGAAGTGAGCTGGAACGTTGGCTATTCATCCAAGTTTCGAATTCACACGACTCTACTGCGACATTGACTGGAAGAAATCCATCGGGAAGTGAGCGGGCTATTTCTGACGCAGTCGCAAACATCGTCAGAAAGTCAAGGGTGCAATCCGGCCTTGCAATCCATAGCAGTACGCGATTCAATAACAGAGAGACACTTGTCGGGAAGTCTGATTAATCTCTGTTCTAGATTTTATATATGTTCAGGACTGAGCGAAATAATTATAACCCTCTTCATATTCACTTCTAGGCACGATAGTAGCTGATAATGAGGGCAGCTGTTTTCTTATGTGAAGAATGCTTCCATCTGCAACTTTTTATTCAAATTGACTAATTTACATTCTGAATGATGAGAGCTAGCGCTTCAAAGTGAATTCCCCTTCTGCCGTGCATTGGCCATCTCGTAAATGAAGGAAACAGACATGGCTGTTCTACTTGAATAATAATTAATACATTATGAGGTTAATTTGCTGTATTTGACAGATTTACCGCTTATGCATAATGAAAATATCTCGCATATCTCGGTATCGTCAGTGTCAGTGTAAGTGTCGTAAAATGCCAGAATACCTAAATATTTTATCATTTCGCCTCATATGGTACAATGACACGGAATGTGTCATAAAACATTCAGACTGTATGCTGAGAAGTATGAACCAGATTACTGCATTACATGGGGACGCCGGGCAAAATTGATTTACTTGAGCGACCCATAAACTTGGCGAAAATCTCCAATGGCAAGAGCGAACAAAGGGATTGCTTCTTGTGACCCTCGTCACCCTACCACCCCATCATCATGAGCGTAAATTAGTTGATTCAACGCTCTCGCTCATACCCAGTAATTTCAGGCCACGGCGCTCATTTAAAGCTTTCCCTCAGTTGTGCGATAGTTCCATCGTGCCACTGCCAATGCCATAGCACCGGCGCGGTGGGTAGGGGGTAATAAAGACCGGCCGAGGGGCGCCCTTTGCCGCTGGATAAGTCCTCCTCAGTCGGTATACTCATATGGTGCCCTCGTGTACCCTGCCGAGTCGCGACTGTCGGCGTCGGTGTGTCGGACACTGTCACCCCTCCCCCTCCCCGCCCCCGTCCGCACCTGGTTTTTTTTTTTTTTGCTCCGCCAGCCTAAAGCCAGTCTGGAGCCGGGGGTCATTACATCTGGCAATTTTGGCCAGGAACAAAGTTTTACGTTAAGCCGGTTTATGTGAACCCGGAAGCAATAGCAACGTGGGAGCCTATCCTTAGTGTGTGTGAGCAAATCTAATGGGGGAACTTACTTTTGCCGAAGTGCCGAAAAAGCCGGAACAAAACACAGATGAAGAAACGTTAAGACCTGATTTACACCGGCGCCGCTTGTCCTGGGGGAGGGGGAGGGCAGCGCCAGAGCGGCGCCTGGGGGGGGGGGGCTGACGCCAGGGGAACGGCGCTATAAAGCGACGACATGGAACTGCGACATAGCAATGCGGAAGACACTGCAGTGAGTGGCACAAAGGAACAAAATCGATGAACTTTGAGGAAAGCCTCATTTATTTCCCTCCTAGAGTTTGACATTCCAAAGGCGACGCCATACCACAGTTGTTGGACCATGTGGCTATGGCATTGCACCTACGTTCTAGAACTGCAACTGAAACCGACCTGCACACCAAACCTATGTGCGGAGCGGACACAGTGGTGCCTGACTCACGTCCGTCCATCGACCTGTGACCAGCGATGGTCGGGGGCAGGCGCAGGGCCACCGGTACGCCGGAACCTTACCACCGCGGGACACGCGACACTACCGACCCCAGGCGCCGGCACCGGCGGCCGGCAGGGTAGGTGTCATTCCACCTCTGCCAGAAGTTAACTGTATAGACACCCGGCCGTGACCTGGCCGAGTATCCACAGAGGTGTCGGTGGATCCTCTGTTTGCAGGCAGCTCATCCGTTGTAATTTCGATTAGTGGGTCAGTCGTGTGAGCAAACAAAGCTCGCAGTGACCCGAGGACTAATTAGCGATAACTGTCGGTCTGTCACGCAACCCGTGCACCTGACTGCCGTCGGGCCTCGCGTATATGCACGGTGGTATAGGGATTTTATATGCCCTGCCAGACTGGTGATTCGTCAGTGATTTTCCTGTCGCTGTCTTATTAGAGCATAGTTGACTGGCTAAATGTTTCTGAAGCATACCGCTATTTTCATAGTCACTTTTCCGATTTAAGGCATTCTGGTCGTTGCTTGGCACAAAAGAAAAGACATACAGTGGCGGCGGAACACCCTCAATTAAGGGGGGGGGGGCACTGGCGACTTTTGATCCCATTCTTTCCATGCAACGCCCATAGGGCTAATGTTAAAATGCCAAAATCAAAGGGGGGCACGGTGCCCCGGTGCCACCCCCGTTCCGCCGCCTATGAAGACATACATATTTCATTCCAAAGTCCCGCTGGAATTTTAATACATTTATAGATGGCAAATTGTATGGTTCCTGTGACATCCCAGCCTAGTTAATAAAGTTATGTTCTGGGAAAGCATAATCACACTCGTGTAAACCACTTTAAATCTCGCACAGCCCTTCCAATATAATATTAGAGCACAACCAGGGCTGCGGAGTCGGAGGCGGAGTCGGAGTCAGTCGGAGTCGACAGTTGTGACCGGTGTCGGAGTCGGAGTCACCGCAAATCCATCGACTCCGCAGCCCTGCCAGGACTGCGGAGTCGGAGTCGGAGTCGGAGTCAGTCGGAGTCGACAGTTGTGCCCGGAGTCGGAGTCGGACTTGGAGTTGGTTTTCTAAAGCCGGAGTCAGAATCGGAGTGGCCGAAAATCCATCGACTCCGCAGTCCTGAGCACAACTTTTCCGCACCGCAAAATGACTATGGCATTTTACGTTTGTACACTGCCGTTCTCAATAGCACAGTCATTTCGACATCTGCCCGACGGCACCAAGCATGGCTTCATGGCAACTTCGGACAGTTATTGCAGAAGTTTTAGAACTGGAGTGGTTTCAGGGTGATGCAACATACTGCGATAATTGCAGTCTCGCTGGGGTGTTGGACTATCAAATAATTAACTCATTTAACAATCATAATAAATGCATGTTACGGTTCATATACACCTAAGCCCACTCTAAAGACTTATTTTTCATTATATGATTTCGGAAACATGGTGTGTCATTACCTACTGCAATCACGTCCATTATCTTTAATAACTCTTGAAAGCTCAAACAGCTTGTTAGTTAAATGCGGGATGCATAAATGCGATATTTCTAGTGTAAAATTATAAAAGGCTTTGTGGTGAAAGCGTTCGGACCGAAATATCTGTAAAAGCAGCTCATCAAAATCAAGCATTACCACCACTGGGGCTGGGGGCGGTCCAGCGAATTAGCAGATAATTCGCGTGCGCCAAGTCTCTGACCTTTGACCCGACCCTGTTCCAGCGCGCCGATCGCCAGTCTGGACGGTCTGGAGGACCTGCAGATCTCACGCGGAGAGAGCACGGCCACAGATATGGACGCGTCTCCCACCTCCCAGGAGCCGGCGGGAGGCGGCGCCGGCGGCGGCCTGACCGTACCGCGGCTCTCGGCACAGCTCAGTCGACAGAGCTCCAGCGTCGGATCGTCACAGAACGTCCGGTACCGACCGCTAGGGAAGAGCGGTCTCAGAGTACCCAGTATAGGGTTAGGTGAGAATGGGGGGATTCGGGTGGGGAGACCATGGTGGGATGGCATGGACTGGGGAGTTGGGTAAGCTGGGGGTAAATTGGTGAGTGGTGATCCAAGGGAGATTGGTGAGACTGAAGAAGACTGGCCAGTTTTACAGACTGGTTAGACGACAGGAGACTGGTGATTGATAACCTAATTAGATCACTGAGGTTTGATGGGACTGATGAGCTGGGAGAGACTGGTAAAATTATGAGACTGCTGAGCCAGGTAAGTCGGGTGAGACTGTTACGACTGCGGTGAGACTCGTATGGTGAGACCTTTAAAACTCGGTAGAGCGCCGCCGTGACCCGGTGTCACCCTCGCCGCCCTGACGGATTGATCGATGCACTGTGGAACGGCCGAGACCGCCAGGTCGGACCTGTGCTGTGCCGTCGCCATTTGTTGGGTTGATGTGGAACTAACCCGGATTAATGGATGGCGTTCCTAGAACTCCAGAGGCGGCACAGTGGCGGTCGGGGTCCTTATACTGCTCCCGACAATGTGCCGCTTTAACAATCGTTGCCGATAGTCGTTTAGTCGTTCACACCGCAATTCGTTCACAGTGTTCAGAATTCGCAGATTTCCGGAAGAATCATTCGGCTGTCTTTTTACTCAGCATAGTCAAGCATTTTATTAAGAGCTGTGGACTCACTGTTAATGAGGGAGCATTAAGTTCGTTCCGTGACTGATCAGCCTGTCAGCAGCTACAGGGCAGCCTGTTTTGTCAGAACGCGTTATCACCCAGCTGAGCTACGGTCGCGTGCGTTGAACACTATCATCGACGGCTGATCAGTTGGCTCAGAGCTGACAGTTTTCGCGCTCTGCAGCCGGCGTGGTCAGCACCAGGGGCGGGACGCGGGGGACCGGACGTGCCAGTAGCACAGACACGCTGCAGTGGGACGTGTTTCAGGGGTCTGTCAGGTCACGTTTGTACCTCTGGCGCCGCCTATACCGGAAAGTGTAGTGACATTTAGCTGTCAATTTACTGGTAACACTTGGCGATAGCATTAGGCGAGTGATTGTGCGTGCTTAGAGGCAAATTACATAGACAGTGGTAACATCACAACCATTTCAAACTAGTGCAGCGCCAGGACGTTATGACCAACACGATGTCTAAGTGTCATGTGACAACTCCATGTGACCGTTCCAGGGACCTGGGTGACACTGAGTCCCCAGGTGTCAGATGACACCGCTGAGGAGGTGATCACCTGTGCCTACGAGAACGGTATCAATCTGTTCGACACCGCCGAGTTCTACTCTGGAGATCAGGCAGAGCTGCGGCTGGGCCGCATCCTAAAGAAACAGGGCTGGCGGAGGACCGGGTTCATAGTCATCACAAAGGTCTACTGGTCCAACCGGTAAGTGCACTGAGAGCTCAGACAGGGGCCCGGAGGAGACTGAAAGCCCAGACGCAAGGCTGTGCTAGCGAAAATGCGCCAGTGCGTCGTCTTTACCATATAGCGGTTAAATTTTGGTGGTTGTAAAAGGCGCCCTTGAGGGTCGTATGGTCACTCATGAATTTTCCTGATAATCCTGAATACTTATGTTCAAGTAAATTACCAACGACAGGCTGCTTTTTCTGAGCTTATCATTTGAAAATTACATTTAACTAGATTGGTGCTACGCTCAGCATTTAGGTGCCAGATTCAGAAAAAAGAGTAAGGCGTACCGATGAATAGGTGCCAGAAACAGCTAATTAAGGTCATTTTCCATGATTGGTGCTGGTATCCACCAAATAGGTGCTGAGGACCAATTTTGGGGCGAGTCAGCTTTTAGGTGCCAGAAATAGCTTTTCTGGGACGCAATTAAATGGCGTCCGAATAAATTTACTTTATTTACTGGCGAATCCCCTTGGCGAGCGGTGCCCTGCGACGGTGTTCGTTGTCAAAGTTCAATGACCTGCCGGCTCTGCTGCTTTTCGTTCAGTTTTGGCAGCGAAGAAAATGAGCCAAGAGCACGTGCTCTCCGCTCGGCGCCAGCCGCGGCCCGTCATGCGGGAGAGATTCACGCGCTGACGGCGCACCCCTGGCCCGATCACCCCCAAATGTTAATACAAAGGCCGCCCACGCCCACAGATTCGGCATGCCAAATTTCACGCCGATACGCGGCGCCTTTCAGGCGCAATAAGACACATAAGACATGACACACGGATGGATGGAGATTGGACGGACGACTTATAAATAATAATATAGACTAGAATACAGGTTTACGCGATAACTGTACGTTTGGATAGATATTGTTGATGGGGCCATTAGTTTGGTTGTCAAAACTTGTATGTTTATATAAGTAGGGTTGAGTTTGATAGTTGCTTTATCTAATTGTATAGTAGGTAGGTATGGCTTTTCGAAGAGCACTACGGATCCAAAAGTTTGGACATTGAATTATTTATAAAAAAACGCCCGCCCGCCGCCAACCGCAAACGCCGCAAAAATAAACAACGACCGCCGCCAACCGCTAACAACACCGCAAACACCGCAATAAACCGCCCACATTGCGCGCCCGCCCGCGGCCAACCGCAAACGCCGCAAAAAAAACGCCCGCATCGCCCGCCCGCCCGCCGCCAACCGCAAACGCCTCGAAAAAAACGGCCGCCCGCCGACAAACGCAAACACCGCAAAAATGCGCAAAACGAACGCCCGAAATGCCGGCGAAAACGTCGCAAAAAAATAAACAATCGCCCGCCCAACGCAAAAACGCAAAAACGCCGAAAAAACCGTCCGCATCGCACGCACGCTAACCGCCAACCGGAAACGCCTAAAAATCGCCCGCCCGCCACCAAACACAAACACCGCAAAAAAGCGCCCGCTCGCCCCAAACGCAAACACCGTAAAAAGGAAACAAAAAAGCGCCCGCCCGCCCCCAAACGCAAAACGCGCAAAACGCACGCCCGAAACGCCAACGCAAACGTCGCAATAAATTAAAACAAATAAAAAATCGCCCGCCCGCCGCAAACCGCAAAAAACGCAAAAATGCCGCAAACAAATCAAAACCGCCCGCATCGCCCGCCCGCCCGCCGCCAAACTCAAACACCGCCGCAAAAAACTGCCCGCATCGCACGCCTGCCCGCCGCCAACCGCAAAACGCCGCAAAAAAACGGCCGCCCGCCGACAAACGCAAACACCGCAAAAACGCAAACACCGCCGCAAAAAACCGCCCGCATCGCACGCCTGCCCGCCGCCAACCGCAAAACGCCGCAAACGCCGCAACAAAGGAAACCGCCCGCATCGCACGCCCAACCGCCGCCAATCGAAAAAGCCGCAAAAGGCCCTACCCTACCCTACCAATATACATACCCTACCCATACCCTAGTCCTACCCTACCCTACCCTACCCTACCCTACCCTACCCTACCCTACCCTACCCTACCCTACCCTATCCTACCCTACCTATACCCGGCATACTCATGCCCTACTCATACTTGACCGAGGAGTTTTACCAAATTTGAGTGCTATCGTCTTACCTGTTCTTGAGATATATAAATGGGCCCCTGCACGTGCGCACGCGCTTAATAAACTCCAGATGACTTATGTCAGCCACCTATCTAAATTGTCCCCAAAAGTGTACAAAATTTGATTGAAATCGACCCAGGGATTCATCAGATGTACAAGCAGACCCCCTCACGTGTGCACGTGCATGAGTCCACCCCACCTGTGACACATGACCTTACATCGCTTGCTGAGTGCCCTGCCTGCCGACAGTCCAAGTTTCAGCGCAATCGGCCCAGAAACGGCTGAGTTATATGCAAGTACAATTTTCAAGGGTTTGCAATATCCGTAAGCGGGCGGTGCCTTGCAGCCTATGCCGTGCTGACTGATTGGCAAAAGTTTAAATGACATGCCGGCTAGCCATCGATCGGATTTCATCGGAAAATATGTCTAACGTTAACAAAACACGGTGGTATGCCTGAGTCATTTTCACGGAAGTTTATTGACTTTTTGATAATATTTTGGGTGGATATTGATCAGAAAAGAATGCTCTATCCGAATATGTGCGTTTCATGGTCAATTTTCAACGTTTTCAATACGTTAACGTGTTGTAAACGACAGCGCACTCGGCGCGCATCAACCTTTCAAAGGAATTTTACATTTTTAAGGAAATGGTAGACATAATCACTTTTTGTTTACCATCATCCATTTTCTCATATATTTACCTAAAAAATGGTACCACACCGATTTCATTCGGTCAAACAGTTTTCAAACGGCACCGATTTTTCCTCCACGAGGCACGAAAACGGTAATTTTTTCGCAACAATGGGTCCTGATGTGCACGTGACGCGCCCAACGTTATAAAACCATAACAATACGCTAGCTTTAGCTCTCCTGTATCGATTGGTGGCAACCGCGTGTCGCTGTGACAACTGGTCGTCAAGATATACGCCCGGAAAGGAGCAGGCGTCGCACCGATTTCGGCCAATATCGCCGTTTTTCGCGCCCCGTGTTAAACCAATGGCGAGCGTGCCTCGTGCTCGCGACGCCGCCAGAGACGCACCCCTGGTCGGATCGCGCCCAAATTTTAATACGATCGTTCGATTTGACCGCGCTTGTCGACTGCCAAATTTCACGCTCCTACATGGCGCCGTTCCGGCGCAAGACACCCAGATGTGGATGACACTTTTCGTTTGTGACACACAGACAACTTCTCTTTTATAATATATCCGACTAGACGGCATGTTTTGCGCTATAACTGTACGTTTTGATTAAATTGGTTTTACAAATGCATTATGCTGGGTTAAAAATCGTTTATTTGTATTATTTGGGTCCCTACCCATACCCTACCCTGCCCATACCCCACCCTGCCCATACCCTACCCTGCCCATACCCTACTCTGCCCATACACTGCTCATACCCTCCACATACTCTACCCTACCCTACTCATACCCTACTCATACTCGATTGAAGCTGTGTACCAAATTTGAGCGCAATGGCCCAGCCGTTCCTTAGATATAGGACCGACCCCTCACGTGCGCACGTTCAGTCGGTCCACCGCACCTGTATCACATGACCATGCATCGCCTGGTGAGTGCCCTGCCCACCCACAGTTCAATTTCCAGCACAATCGGCCCAGTAGTGGCTGAGTTGTTGCAAGAATAAATTTACTTTATTTACTGGCGAATCCCCTTGCCGAGCGGTGCCCTGGCCCCTGCTCCGGTGTTCGCTGTCAAAGTTCAATGACCTGCCGGCTCTGCTGCTTTTCGTTCAGTTTTGGCAGCGAAGAAAATGAGCCAAGAGCACGTGCTCTCCGCTCGGCGCCAGCCGCGGCCCGTCATGCGGGAGAGATTCACGCGCTGACGGCGCACCCCTGGTCCGATCACGCCCAAATTTTAATACAATGGCCGCCCACGCCCACAAATTCGGCATGCCAAATTTCACGTCGCTATGCGGCGCCGTTTCGGCGCAATAAGACACATAAGTCCTGACACACGGATGGATGGATGGATGGAGATTGGACGGACGACTTATAAATCATAATATAGATTAACATGTAAGTGACAGATATTGTAATGACTTGTGAATATTCATAGTTGTGTTATGAGGTTATCGGTGGAGCCAACAAATAACTAAATGCACTTACTTTTATTATTAGAATAAAAGTAAGTGCATTTAGGTATTTGTTGGCTCCACCGATAACCTCATAACAAAAAATATGTCCCTAAATAATCAGAATATTGATATCCTGTGCTGATAAGGCGTGAAGTTTATCGATTCACTTTGATAGAATTTCCATGGAATATATTACAAGGTTCTTGACTGACCTTCCTTGGCAATTCTCAGGGGAGAAGACAGAGGACTCTCTCGGAAAAGGATAATAGAGTCGCTAAAGGCTTCACTAGAACGTCTACAACTGGAGTATGTTGACATCTTCATCATTCAGAAGATGGATCCCAAGTGTCCTATGGAAGGTAAGCCTGGTCTTCTCCCGGTAATGGGCTAATTGATGCGTTTAAATATGCATACAATAAATGTTACCTAAAAATAGAAACATTTCAAGAGAGTGAAAATTAGCAAAACACGGGCAAGTTCGATTCATACAAGACATTACAGCTTTTTGATTATTGTTATTATTTAATTGTAATTAATGTGCCTGCCGGAATGCAGTCAGGACTATATGTGACTTTCGCTTCCCTGACTCCCTTCCATCTCCCCTGTCCCCTGCAGAGGTGGTGCGTGCCTGTACCTACTGCATCAACCAGGGCTGGGCCATGTACTGGGGAACGGCCAAGTGGACTCCCGCTGAGATATTCGAGGCGTACACCAACTGCCGTCAGTTCAACTGCATCCTGCCTATCGTCGAGCAGACGGAGTATCACATGTTCTGCCGGGAGAAGACAGAGCTCTACATGCCAGAGACGTTCAACAAGATAGGTGAGAGACGGGTGTGGAGCGGGGGACGTAAATAGGTAGGAAGATGGATGGCCGTGAGCTCGGGGTGATAATGGCCGTATAGCTCGGTGCGGTGACCCAGAGTTCACAGGTATTATCTTCTGCGTAGCTGTAGTTTGCATATCTGCTAAGTTTTAGTGTGGATTGAAGAACAGATTCGAAACTTTAGCACAGCCATAGACATGGAAAACAATTGTAAGTCTCCGACTTTACAGCTTCAAGATTGAGATGTGAGCGAGCACCAATAAATCACTTTACCGCTCAGTACCAGCCCTATTTCCACTAAGCAGTTCGCATTACGAAACACGCTTCGCTGAAAAATGTAAATCGCTCTGAGGCCTCTTGCACCAAAATCCTCTTGCACCAATGCTTGGATTATTTTGCATCGTATACCCAGTCCAAGTCTCAAATGTAACAATTTGCGTGCAATATTTAGCAAGCACATGTAGGATTACGTATTGGGCTATTGCAAACAAATTTACCACCGTTAGATTAGCTTATTCTGAAACCGGTTTTTCGATTTTACCTAGCTAGGTAGTTTGGTGCAAGAGGCCTCTGATCAGATTTCCGCATCCGTGTTCATAATTTCATCACTCTGTCATCATAATTGCAAATGAAACCCGCACCCGCTGGGCGAACGCGTCAAGTTTGTGAGCATTTCTTTTTGGTCTGATCTGCTTTGGACAGTTCCATTTTGGCTGCGGTCTGCTGGCGGCGGTCCGGGCGGGGATCGGGGGGGGGGGGGGCGCCTGCGGCAGTTGCGTCGGAATCGAACACCGCCCCCGCGCGGGTGGGCCTCCGAAATTGAACGGCTCCAAAAGGCTCAGCCTGTTTTCCCACCTCACTCGATTGTTTGTTTGCTGCCCGCTGATGGATGGTGAAAGGTGCTAAACTTATTCGCAAATATCTTTGGAGGCGGAATTGGCTTTTGCTCTTTTATGTTTTAGCAGTATAATCTTTAGTTTGATAAATTTATTTAATACCACTCTTCCCGATCCTGACGTTTCTTTATGCTACACACCTTGCCCATATTTCTAATGCATTTAAGATTATAATATTTAGAAAAAAGAATAGGTACACTGATTGTGAATTATCGGAAATGGAAACGTACCTATTGCATGGTTCCCACTCGTATTTGAATTACCCAATCCAAGCTTTAGTTGCCACGCTTAAAGATTATTCTGAAGCGTCTCTATATGCATCTTTGCTACGTATTATGCTAAATGCACGTCCAGTTTTCCAACCGCACTTAATAATGTTTCGAAAGCAAATCTTCAATAGATTGCGGGCACAGCTACAAAATGTATCATATATTTGGAAACTTTTGATTAATGCTTAAAATCCCATGTTAGCTTGCGAGGCACGAACATTACAAACATTCTTTAAGAAGCCACTAAAACACTCACACCACTCACACGTAACTATATACAAGTATAATTGTCAATCATGTGACAGTTGATTCGAAGTTGTCGACTGGGACAAGCTGTGCCGCCGAGCACCAATGTAGTGCGGCACAGCCTACCAGGCTACGCTAGAATCTCGCCCGCCGCCTGCATATGAGGGCTCATCTCACTGCCTACTCGGAACATCTAAATGGCAAATAACATCAATATTAGATAGGTATTTAATGTGGCAATTGCACCAAGTTGAGGCACAATGTTTTGCTGTCATTCAAAACAATATGCAGTTGTTGGACGACGTTTAGCTCCCGAGCTGAATTGCAGCTTCCGGGCATACCTTTTGGGGACGACACTTTCCTCGAAGTGTGCTGAGCCGCTGTTTGTCAGAACCAGACATTGGCGTTTGGGAAGGCAAGAGGTATTTAAGCCTTTTCACTTGTGAATTTTAGCACTTATCTTTTAGCACTTAGTGATTCATATGCCTCGTTTCTCTTTATCGTCGAACGCAGAGGCTTAGCCGCTCAAGCAATAAAACTGGAGGAGATATTTCTCATTTTGACAGGCACGATGCTTAAGAATCTCTAGAAATTCTAGCTTGATGCATCGGAATTTGACTGGTCTTGAAGTAAAAGACCCCCATTCATCCTTGCTAGCAATATGGAAACTTGAAATATGCTCACGGCGATAGACGCCCATTTTTCACTTTTACCCTGCGTGAAAACATGTGAACTATCTTGCCGAAGCCTCTGTTGATCGCTGGTCGGCTTACTTTGTTTACCACTGGTCCACTCAATTACACTGATACAAATATTGAGTTTAGGGTACCTTGACTATAGTCACCTCATGACTATGACTATAGATGTGACGCGCACCATGTAACGAACACCAGTCAGAACAAGCGATGAAGCGACCACATCGTCCCAGCATCTAGTCCTGGCTGTCTGGAGAGAGCGCTCCAGCCGACAGGGGCGGCGTCGGCGATCTTGACCAATGACTTGGCCTCGCCCAGCTGCAATATCGTGCCCGCGTGTCTCTTCCACCTTCCATTTCTCTTCATTAGGAGGCGGCCGCTCTGTCGGTGACAGTGTGCCGCTCGTTCTCCAACCGAGTTCAAGTGACCGCGCGGCCCGTCGGAGAGCCGTAAATACCGATTGATGGGCTGCTCAGTCCCAGCTGTCCGCACAGGCCCGGCCATAGACGGCGGCCCTCAACGGCCGGTCGTCCCCGCGCCGGACCGGTCCGAGAAAACAGTCGAGATCGGCCCAGACCCGACCCATCAAAAATAGCGCCACAAATCAAAAATTGATCGCTGATTCTCTTTTGATTGGCCCATCTGTCGCGAATAGAAATGCAATACGATGATGTTATAACGTGCTGATTTTTATTTGTAGATACGACACGGCTGCTGACATGTAAGGCTGTTTGTATTTTATCACAATGCAGCCTTAGATTGGCTGGTTTCCGGGCGCACTGGTCTGCCATGACGCCACCCTTGGTCGGTGTGTCGTCAGGTGTGGGCTGCATGTCATGGAGTCCTCTGTCTATCGGACTCGTGTCGGGGAAGATGGAGGATGGTCTGCCGCTGTTCACCCGGCCATCATTCAAGGTAAGTCTGCTCCCTGCCAGCCCCGCCCCGCCCCGCGTCCCCCGTCCCCGCTCCCCCACCCCTCCGGCTCCTGCCTGCCGATATCTATGGGAACTGTAGCGAGAGTGACAGGATACTGAGAGAGTCGCGCGGGAGAGAGCAGATGTGTTTTCTTGGAGACCAGCGGGACCGGCGGCTGCCGTGCTTGTCTGACTAACTTCATTGTAGGCGTCTTAGAACTAGAGGATAATTCAGTCGTCAGAGGAAATCTGGGATTAATTTATTTTCTTGTAGCACTATCGGTATAGCGCTGTTCGCTTTAGCAGAACGGCACTGAAATATTGATTGAGTAGTTAACGTCTGAGCTTCGCCACGCAAAAAAGAGTCGTGAGGAAATTGTTATTGTTACAAATCCAACAGTAGTAATTGACGATAACGGGTCACTGATCAACTGCACTGCGATCTGTCATATTTATCCGGCCGTGTGATATGTCTTGACCCAAAGAGGTGAAAAGTAAGCCGCCTTTTTGCGCAAAAAAAAAAAATCAGTGGGATCTGCCTACATGAACCTTAATTGATATTTACGAATGTAGCTTGATCATTCGTAGGTAGGTAGCTAACTCAACGCACACCATTGCAGGTTTATAACCCTCCCACCTTTTACCGCCGACTCATTCCACCAAAACCAGCGCCCTACGTCGCGTCGGCTGTGCCGCCCATTTAACCTCCCAGCAATGGGTCCCGCGGCGCCTTTCCGGGCCAGCGGCAGTGCTCTCGTTCGGCGTGTTTTCCTCCGCCGACCAGGGCTCAGCTGTGTAATATCTGTCCGACCATCAAGCGCGTGAATAATCCGGCCACTTACCGCCGCCCCGACGGTCTCGGGTGTTGTTGCAGAGAAAATACGCCAGCTGGGACGGAAGCGACAACAACAAGCAGAACAACAACGCCAAAAGGGAGGAGGTGAGCCAGGGGATGAAGAGAGGGGTGGGGGGGGGATGTTCGAACAAGAAAGACAACAAGGATTTTAAAGGATTGGATTTAAGAGTCTTGGTTATTTATGATGGATGGCTATGCAAAAGACAATAGCATTTACCTACCTTCCCTTTTTATCAGCGAACGTGTATTTTTTATACCTATGATATTGGAATGAACAAAACTGTACCTACTATAAAACTGCAGAGAGGGGCGAGCGGAGCCATAGCTGCACTTGATCGATTTTGCTTTTCTGTTTTGTGAATTAAATAAAAAAGGTGAAAAGGGAAATATTAAAATAAAATATTAAATCTCAATAATTTGCATTTCTTTGGGCAGCCCGTTCATTATGATTTTTTTTTTCAGTATCCAGCCGTATCGTGCTGGTAAATTGTCCTTCCCATGCTTTGACAAAAGACTCCTTGTCGGCTCTGTCTAGGTCGGAGGTAGATATGTCTGTTTAGTACCAGGCTACCTGCTGGGTGCTGGCTACAATGCTACTAAGTAACAATTTGGAAGCATGACGTGGCTCCACGAGCTATTGAGGTTCGCTACGAATTCTGCACTCGTGCCCTTCGAACTGCCAAGGCACCTTGGGCTTCTTAGCTACCTCGGAGGGTTTGGTGACGAGTGGCGACGCTCTGTATGCACCTAATGAGGTCGTACCAAAAATGTTTGGCGTCAATTTTAGTGCTGAGAGGCGTCTCACTTTAGATCAGCCCCTCATCGACATCAACTTGACTGGGCGCCCTGAACTATCGAGAGGTCCTGACGCCTGATCGAGGACGTCTGGGCTCTTGAAAAAGTCTTGTTGCTAAAACATCCCTGCAAAATATGAACAGTCATGCATCATCTTCCTTATTTATCGTTCCTGTCACACACCATATCAGGGGCGGAGCTTTCTATTCAGTTGGTGCCGGTGGGGCGGCTGCCCCACCAACTTGCCATTTTGCCCCACCAATAATCGTTTTCCCCACCCACTTAAGCTTATTTTTAGGACTTTGTTGTTTAGCAAACCAATCTTCTTTGCATTGAGGAGATCAATTCAATTGCATTGAGGGTCTTTAAAGGGACCCTCCCACCTTCAAAAAAGTTAATGAATTGGCATGAAAGTGATGTCCCTTGGTTCAGAAAGAGCGAAAACGAATATCTACCAAATTTCACCGAAAAATATTCACTGGTTTTCAAGATATTAGGCTTTTACTTTTGTTTACTTTTTGGGATCTCCCCTGTTACTAGCGACTTTATTTGGAAGCAATAATTTGGCAGCCTTAAAGTGCGGCAGACGTTGCGCGCAAAGCAGCGTATACCACCACGTGTTAACGATGGTTTTAGTCTAAGATTTAAAAATCGTTAGATCTCCGCTGACGTCACAAATTCTAAGGGGGCATTCCAATGCATTAGCCCCTTAGAATCCGAAAACTGCAAGTTTAAAATTCCATATCTTCGAATTAAAGCATTTTTCGATGTTGTGAGTGCCCAAACCGGTATTTGCAGGCCATGGCCACCAATTTGGCTATCTCAACTCAAAACTAATGTTAAGGTGGGAGTGTCCCTTTAATGCAAAATATTATGTGTGCAATGAAAAGAATTGATTCAATATTGTATTTTAACCAACTTAACTTAACGGTCGGTCATTGTAGGTCTGACAACTTTTTTGCCCCACCAACTTCCCGATGTAAAGCTCCACCCATGCGCCATATATGTAGTGCTGGACTGTCCCATGTCCATGCTTTGGCTTCTCTGACCCTCCCTCGCGTAACGGACACCTTGCGGCTAGCAGCGGCAACTAAGTTTCCCGCTCTACTCGACAGATGTCGCCGTGGAACGCCGACAGGCTGAACGCCGAGGACGGCAAGCGGACGGCGGCGCGACTCCGCGAGATTTCCCTGCTGGCAGAGAAGCTGGGCTGCTCGGTCACCCAGCTGGCCGTGGCCTGGTCGCTGAAAAATGACACTGTCGGCTGCGTGTTGGTGGGCGCCGTCAACTGCCAGCAGGTCGTCGATCATATTCAGGCACTGGCGGTACGTTTTACGTCGGGATAGTGTCGCGGTCGGTTGGTTTGGTGACCCTGTTTGATCTAGGAGGGAAAGTTAATGATGGGTGGGACGTGCTTAGACATTTTCCGGGCTTATTTTACCCGCTATGCCATGCGCCATGCGCTCATTGAGCGCTCATAGGACTGTCATGCGCTCATTGAGCTATTGAGTTAAATCTATGCGTCATATTCATCAATTAAATTTATGCGAATGCCGCCGAATGCGAATCGGTTAGGTGAATTTGGAACAGTTAGCATTGCTTAAATTTTCAAAAGATAAAAGGGGAAAAGATTCAAAAACGTCGAAAAAGTAAAATTGACCTGAGCCAGCCGTTTGAAACATTAAAACCATTTAATAGATGTTTGGGTTAGATAATGAAGTTTAAAATACTTTTTTACGAACAACAGCTAATGTGAGGTACCTACTCATTACTTATAAGGCCAGATATTATCTAATATCTATATCTACACATAGATAGCCGCATATTTAATACCGAATAAGAGCACAATTTTTGCATGATGACACGCGCCCTGCTGGGAAAGGGGCAGAATGTCTCCTTCTTACGTACTTTTCTTACCTAGCCTCCTTCTCAGCCCTCTGAGCGTAGAGAAACTTCGTTGTTTATCGGTTTCCACTTCATTTGACTCTATTTGCTAATCCAAGACCGTCCGGCAATGTTAATTCACGAACTCGTGAATTAACATTTCGGTAGCCCATCTCGGTACTTATTTTGTAAGAGGAGGGTATTTATTTACCCTCCTTTTATGTGATGTCTCCTATTTTTTAGCTGCTGTAGCATAAACGAACTGGTATTTCCTATGGCTATATCGCACATTTCAAAGGAATCAAAACAATTTGTTGAGCGACATAATTTAGATCTAAGCAGCAAGTTAATAAATAGCTACAGCCTACAATACCTAGAACAAGCAATACCTACACATTTTGTTGCTAAATTATTTCAATTGTGGGTATTCTAAGGCCTTAAATTGGTACTTTCGTATCAAGTAGGGTCCACTGCGAAAATCCCGTCGTGCAAACGGTCATTATGTCCTTTTTCTAACGCTCTGAGTAACGTTAGATAAGCCGCTTTCACGACGGGCTAACTGGCGAACGCACCTAATTCTCACCAAATCTGCTCCTAATCTCTTTGATAGCAAGCATCTTCATATATTGATTGTATTTCAGTGTTTTAACCCGTGTCCCACTGGGGGTCCTGGATTTCCACGCCCTGCTGGGGGGGGGATTTAAACTCCCCCATTCTAACTCGGCTCCTGGGCCACGTAGCGATACGCAGAAGGCGGTGTTCGAAAGGGCGCCAAAAATAATGACGAAGTCACTTCGGCCACTTTTTTGGTCAGGTCAAAGGTCAGGTCACCAGAGGTCATTGAGGGCAAAATTCAGCCGATTTTCAGGTCGAATATCGACAATTTCCAAGAAGCCAACGCATAACTCGGGAACCTATAGATGCGCCGCGGAAAAGCGCATTCGATAGCCCTATTAACGCCTTGCACCCAAGCCTTGCACGAGGTTACTTTTACCGGCATCGTGTTCCTCTCGTCAAGACGCATCGAATGAACTGGAACTTGGCCTTGAAAAGTCCACTTGAAAACTTGACCTCAAGTTAAGGTCATGACCTGACCGAAAATGGTCATGTTGCATATCAGTCGATCCATATCGTTGAGCTGAACACACCTGAGGCGTTTTCATTGCTCTAGCATGCTTCTATCAAAAGTTATTTGCGAAGAACTGTTAGATACCATGTTTGCGACCGGAGATGACCTCAGGGACATAAACAGGGGTCACGGACACCATTTTTTATGTTCAGTGTGTCTAAGTTACTTGTAATTTAGTGTTTGGTGGTGTTTATAATTGCTTTCGCCCAAAAGCGGCGCATTTCAGTTTTCTCCCATTGACTTAATGGGGAGGTCGCAAAATTAACATGACCTTAGGTCACCGGTATCAAAATTCTGGGATATACATCTTATGAATGCCATTGCTCTTAGCAATCGCTGAAAGTTTCAAAGCGATCGGATGTGTGATCGGTCACACTTCAAGTGACCTGTTGACCTGTCCTTGAACGACCTTGGTCTGAAATTTTCACAACATGTGTAGAATTAATATATGATAAGGTGTGCTAAAGTTAGAGATATTTGCGAAAAACCACAGGGGGAGGGGATGTTCCATCACCCCCCCCCCCCCCAGCAGGGCGTGGGATAATCGATGATAATGTCTGATGATATGACAAGGCAGATGTAGGTACAAGCAAATAGTTCAACCCTAGTCCTCGCCCCGTTGGGGGGGGGGCAATTTGCCCCCCCCCCTGTGGTTTTTCCTGAATAGCAAGAAACCGGCGGCGCACAGAGCCGCCAAATTTTCAGTACCTTCCCGGGCATCAATGCATCAATTTGACAACTTCATATAAAAGTTCAAGCATTAGGTCACCTTAGGTCAGGAGTTATTGAGGTCAAACTGCCGTCATGTGCGAGCAAAAATGAGCAAAAAAACATGAAATCTTGAAACGCTCACAAAAGCTACAGTTACCAAGCATTTCAAAGCTCTTTACATGGTCATGGAAACAAAAGACGGCGCTACAAAACTGCTATCTCAGATTTTCAAAATTTTGGGATTTTGACCCCCAAAATTAAAAAGGTTAACTTTTTATGAAAACCACAAAAAATCCCAAACTTTTTCCGAATTTCGAAAAAACGGAATATATGTGATAGTTCCTGCGCTCATCTATATACATACCAAATTTTAGATCGATACCTCCTTTTTTGGCCTGGTTATAATAGCGAAAAAAAACTGTTCAAAATTGATGACGTCAAATTTTTTAACTCAATTTTTAGCAATGCTAGATCACGTAGCGCAAAACAAAGACCACCATTGAACTCCCCGTGATGAGCTACAACGGATTGATACCCATTTTATGCAGAGCTATCAACTTTGAAATTTGACTTAAATTGACCTGACCTAGTGACCTGACCTTGACCTGACCTTCACCAGAACATAATCTAAACTGACCCCAAAGGCTGCCTGACCCACATAATCGCATTTGGCATATAAAATGGACCATAAAACATGCATCACATGATATTTTCATATTGTGACCCTCAGTGACCTGAACTCTGTGACCTGACCTGGTATCAGTGACCTAAAATAGCAAAATGTGTTTGACGAACATTTCCCCATCGATGATTTTCAATGAAATGCATTTTACTCGATTTTACAATGCATTTCGTGAAATGCCTATGAACGGTGAAAATTCGACATTTGACCTGACCTGTGACGTCATCGGTTTGACCTAGGTCAATGAAATTGGGTCAATAGGTAGTTCCCTGTTGGACTATCCAACACCGTTTGCTGCTTGTCGCTATGTTGCGTGGTTCTGGAGATCTTAAGGGGGGGGGGGGCAAATTGCCCTCCCTCAACAGGGCGCGTTGCTCGACAGACCCCAACGGGGCGCGGGCTAGCTGATAGCTACTAAGAAATACATTGAACCTAATTTTCACAAATTTCTTACCAAATCTGCATCTACTCTACACCAATTATGTACCAGATGGCAATTGTGAAAGCGGCCATTATGTACCTAAAATAGCTTGTTTGTTTGACTGCAGTACTGGAAACATCAGTCATGACCTTTAAATGACGAAGTGATATATGTACGTGGAACAAAACCCACTTTTTGTCCATAACAAGGAATAGAAATGTCGCATGAAATGTCATGTTTTACGTAACGCCACCCTAAGCCTGGTGACAATTGCGGTCATACAGGACTTGTCAGAAGAACAGCAGATGACTCAGACCGCGACGTTCCAATGACAGCTGACGAAAGCCTTTATAAGCCAACGCTTGGTGGTGAGCTTTAATTGCAGAGCTGACCCCGCACCGAATTCAGTCGGCAAGTCACTGCCAGCGGCCCGATATACCGAAGAAGAAAGAAAAGAAGACGAAAGGTTTTAAACAAGATGAGTCGCTTCGCATTGATGGTAAGTTTTCTCTGCCACGAAAAAGAAACGTGTATACTTTTGCAATGTCAGTTGTCTATTCATTGGCAATTCCAGTTCACGGCGAGCATGCACCACATTTCTGACGTTAGTTAAACCGCACCCTGGTGGTGGTGGTGGTGGGGGGGGGGAGTATTTTTGCCCCCCCCCCCAGACATTTCGATATATCTCCAGAACTGCTGCGCTGATCATCACCAAACTTTCAGACTTCAGTAAATTTTACACATTGCAACATAAAACTTTGTCAAAGGCTATGAGAGGTTGGCCGCAAATGACGTCAGAGTGACGTGACGTCATGTTCTGCCGTTTTCGACCCAAAATAGGTTTCGCGGGAAGAGCTGTCAGGGCTATAGCTTTGAAGATGCCGAAACCTATGTTACAGACATAAAATGTGTAGAATTACAAGGGCGTCTAAACTGCCATCTCGAAGTTTTGAAAGTTTTGGATGTTGACCCCCAAAAATCTCCTCTAAAATATTTGTTCGAATATAATAGCCAGAAAGTTTAAAAGTTTTTTTTTCGATTTTCGAAAAAAAGAATATATAATGTTATTGCCCTTACCAACTTCTACTAACATCCCAAATCTTAAATCGATTCTCTTTTTTGGCCAAGTTATAGCGCAAAATGCTCAAAATTGATGGCGCCAAATTTTCATTTTTTTTGTTGCAATTCTAGACCACGTAGCGCAAACCAAAGACCACCATTAGACTCGCCGTGACGAGCTGCATCGACTTAATACCATTTTATGCCAAAATATCAATTTTGAAATTTGACCTTTTTGACCTGACATTGACCTGACCTCCATCAGGAAGTGACCTAAACGTTCCTGATGGTCTTATAACCCATACCATTGAGCTTGGAAATGAAAATTGGCCACAAAACATGCATAGCACAGCCCTAGAAAAATTGGAAACCCTTTGTAACCTGACTTGTGACCTGACATGGTATTAGGTATCAGTGACCTCTATGTAATAGCAACATACGAGTATGTACTAGGCAACTGACGCCCTATTGATGATTTTCGATAAAATGCGTTTTACTCGATGTTATAGCGCATTCCCTAGCCCTCGCCCATGTAGGGGGGGGGGGTTGGTGCAACCCCCCCCCCCCCTGAGGTTTTTCGGAAATAGTGCAAAAACGGCGGCGCGCAGCGCCGCCAAATTTTGGGTACCTTATGGGGCAAACCTTGCGCATCTTTTGATAAAAAAAAATTTGACCGGGTCATGTCAGGTCACGGAGTTATGACGTCACAAAGGGAACAGCCTCCGGCCGGATTTTCACAAACTGAGTGCCAACGCCCGAGGTTTCCTGCCGGTGGTACGGACATCGGTTGATGGATCGTGATTAAACTTCCCATGCATGTTGGGGCAAGTATTGGCTATCATATGGTATAAGAAACTTGACCGGGTCAGGTCAGGTCACGGAGCTATGACGTCACAAGAGGAACAGCGTCCGGTACTATTTTTGAAAAGCGCCCGAACCACTATTTTGCTAATTCTTGTCACCTCAATGGGAATATGCAGCAATATTAGCTTCTATAGGGAGCAAATGGACCTTCCAAATCCAAAAATACAATCAGATTTCAAAAATTTAAATTTTGATTTTTCGAATTTCTCCCGCCGACTGTGACCTTGCCGACTTCCGGCGCTCCCAACGCGCCATTTTTAGAGCTAGGGAAACGAAATACATACCAAACGATAGAGAATTGATCAAGGAACACGATAGTGAAGGTTTCAAGTCGATATCGCCCACCGTTTTGCCGCAATCGCCGCGGAAAGTTGAAAAAGTCTATTTTTCCGAAAATTTGACCTTTGACCGGTCAAAAGTAGGTCAAATGTTGACCTAGGACCAAAAAATATACCACCAATCGCGAGATCTCGGCGAGAGCAATCCGTTGGTTTTTTCCGCTAAGCTCTACGACGCTCCGTTTTCAAACGCCAAGGGGGGGGGTCGCACCAACCCCCCCCCCCCTGCATGGGCGAAGGTGGCAGATCGCCGTTTACGGGCGAGGGCTAGAAGACCCGTGAACGGCAAAACATTTTACCTTTGACCTGACCTCTGACGTCATCTGTGACCCCGAGGTCAATAAAATTGGTATTCCTTCGACAACGCTGACAGGGCTTTCGAACATCGTTTGAATTTCGCGGATCCGTCCAGAAGTTTCGGATATACGAGGGGGAAAATAGCCCCCCACCAGGTCGCGTTATAGACAGACCCCACGCGCGGTTTAAAGTGACCATCCCACCTTAACATTAGTTTTGAGTTGAGTTAGCCAAAATGGAGTCCCTGGCTTGCACTTACCGGTTTGAGCACTCACAAGATCGAGAAATGCCTCAAATCGAAAATATCTAATTTCAAAGTTGCAGCACTTGGATTCAGAGGGGCTTATGCATTAGAATGCCTCCTCTGAATGTGTGAGGTCAGCGCAGATCTAACGATTTCAAATCTTTTACTGAAACGTAAGGTAGCACGCGGTGGTATATGCTGCTTTGCGCGCAGGAAATGCCGCACTTTCAAATAAAGTCGCTAGGAACAGCGGAGATCCCAAAAAGTAAACAAAGTAAAAGTATAATATCTTGAAAACCGGTGAATATTTTTCGATGAAATTTGGTAGATATTCGTTTTCGCTCTTTCTGAACTGAGCGACATCACTTTCATGCCAATTCATTATAACTTTTTTGAAGGTGGGAGGGTCCCTTTGATGCCTCCGATGAGTTCATCGGCTATTCTGTTTTTCTTATGAAGTTCGTAAGCTGACGGACCCATTTCCCATCCACAGCTGGTGCTGACTGGGCTTCTGGTTCTGGCCGTGTCAGTGCCCCTGGCCGTCGGCAGCCCACAGCCCCATCCGCTGCCGGTGCCACAGTCTTCGTGCTATTGTTGGCGCTGCTGCCCTCACTGTGACGCCTCGTGCCGCCACTGCTGCTTTGCACCGATAAAGTGAAGCTTTGCAATGATATGCAGCTACGCAGGTGCAGGGTTAAGTCTCTCTCTGTGTAACCTGACCAAGCCCGTCAGGCAGACTTTGAGCACATACATAATGATTTGGCTCCGCTCACCCGCAAAATGCGTGCTTGTCCGAGTGTCGTGCTGCTACGAGTGCATTGAAATTTGAAAATATATATATATATTCGACGTGTTCCAACGCGTTGGATTTTCTATTGCCTTCTAATTTTCTTCAATAAACGGATTTCTATTTTATTGTCGTGTTTGTTTGGTCTTTTCCGACTTGTGGCCATTTTACCATTTTACCATTACAGTCATGCATTGAGTATAAGGAGAGAAGTTCCCAGTGGGGCGCATCCTTTTAAGGCATTATTCGAAACTTGCTGTGCTGTTATGATGATGATAAGGTTCTAAAAATAGCATGCATGACACTCTGATCCAGCTTGGTTATATTGTGACCGTATTTATCAACTCTTTGTTAAATTGCTATTACGTCGCACGCGCGAAAAATGTCAAAGCTGTCCTCTAATCGACGTAGGTATGTAAGCTCGTGCAGTACTGGTTTTTTCCAACCGAAGGTCTTGCAGCATCATTTTATTTGATCCACCAATGATGACTCGATTTAGGTATGCCCTTGCAGTCTGCACTGTTGAATGCTTTCACATTGCCGTTGAATGAGCAATATTCCTAATTTTGCACCCCTTGCTATGTTTGAATAAGGTGGCTTCCACCTGTCAGAGGTTAAATAGCCGTCCCAATGTTATGCACGCCGCCAACTCTAAAGTAAATTGGATACAGTTCAACGAATTCTCAGTTCTCTGTGACCCTTATCAGCCATTCACCCTTGCACGGCTCACGGACACCTCAAGTACGCCTCTCATCTTTTCCATTCCTCTCTCTCTCTCTCTCTCTCTCTCTCTCTCTCTCTCTCTCTCTCTCTCTCTCTCTCTCTCTCTCTCTCTCTCTCTCTCTATCTATCTATCTATCTATCTCTCTCTCTCTCTCTCTCTCTCTCTCTCTCTCTCTCTCTCTCTCTCTCTCTCTCTCTCTCTCTCTCTCTCTCCCTCTTTCTTTCTCTCTCTCACTCACTCTCTCTCCCTCTTTCTTTCTCTCTCTCTCTCCCTCTCTCTCTCTCTCTCTCTCTCTCTCTCTCTCTCTCTCTCTCTCTCTCTCTCTCTCTCTCTCTCTCTCTCTCTCTCTCTCTCTCTCTGTCCCTTGCGCTGTCTTTCTCGTTCCCCTCATCTTCTCTCATTCTCTCTCTCCCTCTCAATCTCCCCACTCCTCTCTCCCTGTCAGTGAGGTTGGCCGCTGATTGAGTTTGTTCTCTGTGTGTGACTGTCTGTTTTAGATCACCGCACGGCTGACGCCAGCGATCAGCACAGAGCTGGAGCAGATCCTGGCCAACCGTCCGGTCCGGTTCCTGCCCGCATCACCGATCCCCAAGGGCCCCGAGTCGCCGCGGTGAGCGGCCGGTCCCGCCCTCACAGGTGACCGGCCCCTGGATAGACGGAGGGTCTCTGAGCCAAACGTCCCAGTTCCCGGTCCTGACCGGTCCCCCAGCTGTGACCTCGAGTCCCAACCCGCCTCAGGTCGTGACCTGAGGCGGACAGCTGTCCTGACCCGACCCCGGCTCGACGACTCTGTCACAGAGTCCGACTGTCTCCTGTGTCTGACCAGGGTGCCCTGCATGACTCCCCCTGCTTCGTGAGGTTGAAGACAAGCCGCTGCATGGGCGTGAGACGTGCTTTTCGGTGAATCACGCTGCTTGAATGAAGTGTGCAATACTTCAGATAGTCTCCATAATGTCAATGTATTTACAGATACTCGGTTGTGACTGGTGTTCTTCTTAGACCTGCTACATGATTTTGTGTGCTCTTTTTTGGGTGACCCCAATAGTGTTCGTAACGTCGCGTGGTGTTTTGGCGCTTTTCTGGCTCTTAGACGTTACAGTTCTTACTTTCTGGAACATAACTTGTCGGTACGGCTGGATTGGCTGGTTTTGACAAATGTATGATATACTTGGTACTAACCGTTTTCAGGACAGTCATCTGGCACACATTTGGTGCAGATAAGGTGCAGATTTGGTGCATATTTGGTCAAGTTAGGTTCAGTGTGTTTCTTAAAAGTGATCAGTTTGGGGTGCTTAGACGCTTATATGCCTTATTTTTCAAATTATCGGACACTATTTTCAATTAAAACACTGGCATAAATTGGAATGATAATGAAGTAATTTATTGTAAAAAGATTTGGTGTAGATTTCGTCAAATTAGGTGCGTTCACCGGATAGCCCGTCGTGAAAACGGCTACTATATAACAACAGAACGATTTTACTACATTTTATTCTGCGACCACTTTTAGAGATAAAAACTCGTCTAGTGCTATTGTAAAATCCATCCGTAATCACTTGCATGCACTGACTATTCATTCTTCCTCTAAAATCTAACAACAGCGCATGCACTATGGAAGCGACGTTTCTATATGTATCCTTCTATGACTATTTTTTTGCAAATAAAACCTTGAAGGATAAGTGTTTATTAGTTATTCTTGTCTGTCTCACTAACATGCACATGCATTCTTTATTTGGAACTTAAACATCCAGTTATAGGTACTTACCTTGGCCATAGCCTTATTTATTTTTTCATGATTATTTAACACGCTTCAATGGTGGGGAATATTGCATGTTGTGCATGTTGGAAATTGCTTATTTTATTACTTGTTGCCCTCCAATATCCATGAACAAAAACCATTATTACGTTGCGTTTCTTTGCGAACGTTTCCTTATTTTAACTATGGCTCCGTTTTCCCTCATCTCCATACCGAACGTTTTTTTTTTTGTGAACAGGTTTTAGGTGCATGACTCATTTATGCCCATTGCAAGATGAATCTCTTCCATAATCACATGGAACTAGAACGGGTTTTACCTAGAGCATTCAGCTTGTCAACAGTTACCATAACCAAACCGCTTTGAATAGTCTCTGATACTTTACAAGTACAACACTCCTCAACCTATCGGTCCCCGCTGTGATTCTGGCTCTTGCTCACCAATCCCTTTGTCGTTCTCTCTCCACTGTGCTGTAAATAAAATCCATGCCTTCTCCACCGCTACATTCTTCCAGCTTCCTCTGCTCCTTCATGCTCGGCATCCTTCTTATGCCATTACTCTCGCCATATCCAAGTAGCCGTTTTCCTGTTGTGCATTGATGGCCTCTCTTTGCTCTATACATAGAAGCCGTCTACCTGTTGTGTATCAACGCTCTCTCTCTCTCTCTCTCTCTCTCTCTCTCTCTCTCTCTCTCTCTCTCTCTCTCTCTCTCTCTCTCTCTCTCTCTCTCTCTCTCTCTCTCTCTCTCTCTCTCTCTCTCTCTCTCTCTCTCTCTCTCTCTCTTTCTCTCTCTCTCTCTCTCTCTCTCTCTCTCTCTCTCTCTCTCTCTCTCTCTCTCTCTCTCTCTCTTTTTTTTACTCTAGTAGCCTCTACTTCCATGGACATCCCTGCTCTTTCTATATTCCAGTAGCCTGCATCCGGTGTCAAGTACTCAATAGCCATCGCCGACGCCCACATCATCCTTGCTCACCTGTCTACCGATTGACCTGGCGGGCCGATCAGTTACGATCCGCGGCGCCCTCTCTGGCCTTGTATTCGCCTTGGAAAGCCCTCTCTGTTCTCCTCGCTCCGGGCGCCCTCTCTGACCTGGTCACCACCCGGGAGCCTTCTTTGAGCTTACATTCGCCTGGGGGCTCCTTTCTAGCCTAGCCGCTACCCGGGCCGCCCCTCTTACCCTGCCACCGCCCGGTCACGCCCCCATAACCCCTTCTTCCCAACGGCGACCTCCGCGACCTAGCCGCTGCGCTCAGGGCGCCCTCTGGGACCTAGCCTCCACCTAAGGCTTCCTCTTTGACCCGGCTGCTGCCCGGGGCTCCCTCTGTGACCTAGCCTCGAGCCGGGGCGCCGACTCTGACCCGGCCGCCGCCCGGCCCGCCCCTCAGCTGGTCTCCCGGCTGACCTCTACCGTGCTGGCCGACATGGAGACTGCTCTGGAGAACCGACCCCGCCGGCCTCCGGTGGTCTCCACGCTCGAGCAGAGATGACAGCTGGCCGAGCTGGCCGGCCGCGCCGCCGGCGACGACCAGCTCGAGACAGAGTCGACCGACCAGCAGCGCCGCTTCTGCGTCATCCAGTGAGCGCTGCGGCGAGGAGGATGGCGCGGGAAAGGGAGAGGCGGAGAGGGGAGGTGGAGACGGCGGAGAGGGGAAGGGGAGAAGACGGCGCCGCATTCGTGTCTATTCATGAGGACTGCGGACTGCGGTGGAGGGAGAGTGGAACGGTGGATTTGGATGTGGCAGTGGCGACGGTGGCAGTCTCCCAGACTCTGGCTCGATTTTTGAAGAGCGGGTTTGTGAGTGGTGGGAAAAGGTATGATCGGGAACGGGTGTAGATCGTTGGATGAGGTCGTTGATATTGTTAAAACGACTAGAGCTGGATATTTACGATGATCAGAGATGTTAGCCGGTTATTGGTAAGATTGGTATGAGGGATGCGTTATTCGTAGGCCTGAGCTCAATCATACGCTAGAGGTGTTTGGCATGTTTAACATGAACTGAAAGGGGACTGGTGATGAACGATATCCGCCAAATATTTCGGCGAGTTATTATATCAGCGTGGTTTATTTGCTCGTGCATTTGCATTCACGCCAGTGTTTGGCGTACATTTCGCGCCCGAAGCTGTATGACACCGCTCCTCCGCACTCGCTAGCATAAGGCATGGCCGGGCGACCTGTGTCATCTTCCTCATCTGAGATTGTTAGAGGACGAGGTTTGTATGGTGATGGACATTCATATTGGGCGCGAGACACTCATAAAACGGACGCCGATTACGGCATATGAGAGGAACTCAACAGTGACGCTACTGCTCGTGTTCTGTCACCTTTTGGCTCACCTTTGCTGGGTGGCTACAGTGGTGAGCGGCCAGAGCCAGTGACGTCACCGACTGCTCAATGACGTCACGCCACCTGCTATATGAGGGTAATTGAACGGTAGAGGGCGACTGGTTGCTGGGGAAGCCGTACCCTGGATTGGTGACTGTATTTGCGGGTGGTGTTATGGGCCGCTGTTATTAAAATGTTAGGGGAAACTCCTCATCTGAAGTGGTTACGTTAAATGTTGGACTCATTACCGTGAACAGAATTAATTTATCTATATATGTATAGGCGTCAGGCCGATGTGTCGAATAACGGATAATGTATGATGAATATTTGCTTCCTGTCCTGGGCAGAAAGTATTAAATTTGTGTACTTCTATCGGTGATTTGTGAATGTTTTAACGGATTCGAACGAATGGTGTTGGTTTCGGTTCTGAGAGCCAGGCTCCTTGTCATATCGCCATGAAAAAATGAGCAGTTAATGAACGCCAGAGCTGGAACTGGGTGGTCGCCTGCGTGCGCACGTTTTCCTTACGATATACGCTGTCTTCTCATCCGCTTCCCACCTTCACTTCCCTGAGTGCCCGTGATGACCGGGCATGCGTTCACCGAAAGGCATTTGCAATTACCATTTTTAACTCTTCTTGCTAGCAGCTGCTCAGTAAACACTTCTTCTTACATCTAGTTTACACATAACCACAAGTCGCCATTATTGTGCCGATATATGCATCATTGACAGTGACGGTACAGAAAATCCAATTTGGCTACACTACGGTCTTTGCTGGGTGAAGCTCAACTGTGATGATGACATAATATCAAACTGTATATTGCTAACCAGTAGATACCATGAGCTACCTCTCTCATGATATCTATGGCTGAGTCGATGAAAGATATTGCGCTGTTGAGCGACGTCAAAGTGACCATCGCTGCAATGAATATGTTGTGTTTATGTTTGGCGATGTATTACTCGATTCAGCATAGTGTAGCATTCACTGAACATTTTCTTTGATTCAGAAAGTGTCTTCGCTTGTTCAATAAATACTTGAATACCATTTTTGTTTTATTCAGCTGTTCCGAACTCGAAGATATAATACGTTGTACATAAGCATCTAAATAAACTTCTATATGCTTGAGCTAAAATTGAATTTTTTGTAGTTTATTGTGGATCAGTTAAACATCATAAAGACAGGAATTGAGCCATAAATTAGCAGGAGGCATTTATTCATGTAAGTGACCTATGAGCCCGAATATGTAAAGGATAAGCCCTTACCTAATAATGATTATTTATTACACGATGCCATCGCACCAAAAACACTGAAGAAGCATCCTCGCTCGTACATTCATGCTCCAACGAATACAAATGCATCCTCAACATGAACGCGCCCATAAGGTATCACTGCAATCATCTTTTTCGACGCTCGCGCATAAAAATGTTTTCAATGCCTACATATAACTCATTTTGGTTCAAAAGAACGGTTTGCGATATAGCTTCGATTTTACGTTACCATGAAAGTGCGTGCGCTTAATCGGTCTTACAATACTTACAATGCAACAGGTTCGTACAATCCAATGCTCTCCATATACAACATTCAGTTGTTCTCCTGTTTCCAATAAAACAGAAAGCAACTTTTTAATAGAAGCTGTCACCTACATGTCCAAAGAACCACAACACATGGGTTATTGGCCCACCGCTGAAAGCACTGATTTAAGACATGTTCCATGGCTGCCAGATGTTAGCCCGTTTCTCCATGCTCCGCTGGATCACTGAAAACGAAAACACAAGAGATATCGTAATGCTGCTAAACATGACTAAATCTTATGAGTTGTCAACAGCGTTTCGGCTTTATCAAGATAAAGGAAGTGCAACGCTTAACTCCTAATTGGTAGCTTATCACTGAAAACGATAGCAATACATAGGTATAGGTCTCCGCGCTAACTAGAAAAGACATCGAGCTGTAAGATGTGGCAAACCGCTACGTTATATCTACTTAGACGACCCTCATAAGTCATAACGATACTTTGCAAAGCACAAATAACAGTTGACCATCAAACAATGCTTGAAACAAAACACAAAACAGCGCAACGCTTGCATCTTAGCAGACTACAGCGCACAACGCTACCGTGATAGGCATAGTCTTCAGAAAAGCTAGGGATAACTCCTCTCAAAGAGCACTCACAATTTCTGAACCAGGTGAGCGCCTCGGCCGGGCTGTTGCTCTCCTTGAAGATGATGTAGATGAGTGAGAAGATGTGGGGGTAGAGTCGGCAGATGTCGGCGGCCCACATCAGTGCCCGCTCCACCAGCTCGTGGGAGGACGCCGCGGTGCCGGCTGGGGAGGGACTGACGTCGCCAGCCTCTGCCGACAGCTCTGACGGTGCAGAACAGATGAGATGTTGACCTATACATTCAATAATCAATAGCATGGTCTTAGTTGATCTGGTTCTAGCCGTTTACCCCATTCGGTAGCGATAATATCGATGTCATTGATTGCCAAATCAGCAGGAATTTTTGTGACGTAAAGTTTGTACGAAGTCACATTTAGGTCACATACCATCTCGCTCAAAATAGCAGCATTGGCCAAACTGTGCGTTACGTTTTCACAAGTCAAACATGTGCAGGCCAGGAAATGCCCGATTTCTACGGTACTGACTGACTTCAACGCCTGCAACTTTACACATTTCCTGCATAATGTATCAACAATCGATAGCTTCATTCCGAAGTTGCCCCGTTTCTGAGCAGCACTGAACAATATCCGGGGTCGAGCCCAGTCTTTGCAAGAAGGCGGAACTTTGGACGGCATTCTGCCACGTCAGTTTACCGTACTGCTCAAATTACGCCCACGATCAACCGTTGCATATTTAACAGCCGTGCTCGACGCACCACTCGTTCTGCACATCAACCTGTGTAGCTCAGCGAATAATCAGAACCAGCGACGGCCATTACCCGAGTCCTACAAAGGTGTTTCCAGATGGAATAGCACCATTTGGAAATGGTTAATGACGCTTTTGCAGCTCGCTCCTCGGAGCTGCAATTCACCCCAGCGACCTGTGCGCCTGATGCCGGCGAGGTAATGGTTTGAAACTTGGACCTGCATTTATGGCTTTCCCCGCTGCAGACAAGGTACAAAGCGTTCGATGTTCATGACGTGCTGGCGCTATCGATGCATGGATGCCGGCGGCATTAAACTAGCGACAGTCTTCTGGCTGGACCAGCTAAAGCATCCACCAGGCCGAATTGATTTGTATCGGTACCAGATTTGATGATCATGGATGATCAGATTGAGCATTTAACGGCTGTAACGGAGCATTCAGACTCAGAGGTAAAAATCCTTTACCAGTGAGCATAGACAAAGGTTCGCTAGAAGGGATGCTCAGTCAATTGCTTTGTACTCGTCAACTATGCTGAGCGATCTTCAGTAGCATATACTCGTAAGTCGTAGCTAAGCACTTCGGCGAATCACAGTTTAGTGTTGTGTGTTTGTTAACTACATACCTATATACTTGCTCAATATGAATAAATACTAACAAGAAAAGGAATCATCCTCATAGGACGTTCGTCGCCTAAACGTTTTTGTGGGAGTTTTATATCCCTGTAAATTCTTCTGGATATATGTAGGATATTTGTTACGTCTCCGCTATGAACGCTTCCTGTCTGTGTATGTATGCACTCCGTTCACTGTCTGCGGGGTGGAGCCCTTCTCTGTGTGCCGTGCCCCGTTACCTGTCTGCACCGGTTGCGGGCCGGACAGACCTATCTGTGTCTGCGCGGGGTGGCCCTTCATGCCCCGTTACCTGTCTGCGCGGGCTGCGGGCCGGCCGGACCGCCCTCTCCATCCCCCGACGTCTCCGGACGGCTGGTGGTTGGCACATTCACAGGCGGCGTCAGCATCACCTTGCCGGAGCGCTCCTGCTGCTGCTGCACTCGGGTCAGCGCCACCTGACGAGCCATGATGGCCTGACGCTCCCGCACCAGCACACACCTGTGTGGTAAAGGCAGGGGTAGAGTTTGTGGGAAACACTTTTGGATGGATGGGTGCAATATAGCGTGAGTGCTGTAGGCAGTAGGCATAATCCGTTACACCTACGGAAATGCATGCACATATCAATAAGTATTATTTTGAGACAATTTTTTCTTTTGACAATTCAAGTGGGGAGGAGGGGGGGGGGAGGTAGGATGTTCATAACTCCTTCAATCTAGCGTCTCGTCAGTTGAAACCTACCTGGAGCAAGTGCAGTCTTTGAAGTTGCAGAGTCCCTTGTGGCCCCGCAGCTCGTTCTTGACTCCGTGGTTGCGGCAGCGGGAACAGAGCGGCACTCTTCTGCCGCTGGCGGCCCCCGCGCCGCTCTGGGACTCTTGTCTGGCGGAGTTAGCTGACGGTGGGACACCTTCCCAGCGCTCCGCACCGCCCAACTTGTGCTGCTGGGTCGTGCGTGACTCAAGTCTGGCCGACGGAAGGACGTCCTCCGTTCCGGGCCGAGTTCGGACGAACCGTCCATCGGGTCCGCGTCCTGGACTGGCCGACGACAGGTCCTCCGGCTCACCGGTCGGGCTTGCCGGCGCCGGGATCTCTGGGTTGGGACTGGTCGAGGAGCCACCGTTCGACCTTCCCAAACTGGCTGCCGAGAGGTCCTGGACCTCCGCAGGACTGGTGGGGAACAGATACTCGGCCCCGCGCCCGGGACTGGTCGCGGCCAGGCTGGCTGAGCCCCTCTGTCGACTGAGAGACGGAGAGTCTGTCCTCACCAGCGGACTAAGATTGGACAGGTGAGACGACTGCTGTCTCCCTGCGAGACTCTCCACCATCCTGCGCCGCTCACCGACTGAGAAATCCAGGCCGTGACGGCGCTGCTGAAGTTCCTCCATCTGTACCTGCTGTTCTCCGGAGAGGCTGCGTGTCTCTCCCCCTTCCCGGTCCTGTCTATCGGAGAGGGAACCTGTCATCTCCGCCCCATCCTCGCCCTCCGCCTCGCTGTTGGATCGGCTCTTGTCTACCACTGAGTGCCTCTCAGAGCGCTGTTGGGCCCAGACGGTACCCGTAGGACCCCTGTCGCCGTAGATGGCTCCACCAGCTCCGCTTCCCTCCGGGAGGGGAGCCAGGGACGTGTCCTCAGAACCGCTGCCACTGCCACTGTCGCGAGACTCCTCTGAAACATAAAATAATCAGTGATTTGTTACATGTAGTCTTCCCGGCATGCCTAAGGCCATCGCCAGGGAAGGGGAAATTATTTAGGCTGGCAATTAGCCAGACCTTTTGTTTTACTTTTCTCTACTGTCAGCTATTTAATGATCCTTTTGCTGGGATGCGTAAAGTAAACTACTACTACCGATGTACTTACATGAGCGCATGTGGGCTTCGTTATAAGAAAAACAAGAGCATCGGCACACATGATTTTTTTATCAATTACTTACAACGATGAGGATCTGTTTATCGTTTTAACTTTCAGGACTCTGAGGTCACAGTGCGCACGTCTGGCAACGAATTGGTTACGCAAAAATATATTTGCGTCGAGGAGTGGCAAGGTAGAGACCCTATGCACAATATATAGCTGCAATTCACCCGTTCAATGTGGATGTATTTTTCCTGAAACCTCAGGGCATATTCAGTCGTTGTACGTTTTAGCACAGCTTTAAGCAGATCGTCGGAGCCCATCTGTCGGCAAATTAATGCCAGTGCCGCCTAATAGCAGCTTTGACTCGACAAACGCGCATGAGCGATGCAAAAAAGTAGTTACAAATATGAACAAACGTATCCCGCCATGCACCAATGACTCGGCTATAAATCGCAGGAGGTATATTGCCGAAAGTAAACAGTGGTGATCAAAAGTGCAGCATACCGGCATGCAAAACACAGACAGCTTTTCCTGTAAAAATCATAAGAAATTCCATCACAGCTTGCTGTCTCACTCCCATATCCACTCTTCGATGGAGACCACTTCCGGCGCCAGCTCTCCCCTCACCCTCCGCTCGGCTGGTGCGGTCTTCTAGGGCGGGTTGGCGGCCCCATAGCGATGGCAGGCGTACCTCTGCTGTACTGGGTCTGCCACGGGCCGCGGTACGGCGCCGGCCGGCCGCGGACGCGCGTACTCGTACCGGTAGTTGGTGCGCATGATGGGGTTACACGAGTTGGTGCGGAAGTCCTCAGCGGGCTGCACGGCCGGCTGCTGGCGCTCCGTCAGTCGCGTCTCGTACCGGTACGCCGTGTGCATGGTGTCGTGGTTGGGCAGCACGGTGCGCACGCCAGGCTGCACGCAGCCGCCAGTCGCCGGTCGGGACGTCATAAAGTCGTAGCGCGCGCTGGTGCGCTGCAGCGGGCTGATGTTGGTCAGCTTGATGCGGCCGCTGCAGGCCCCCGGCGCCGTGCAGGCCGGCTCGGAGGCGGGCGGCGGACGCATCGTCACCGGGTTCATGCTGTTGGCGAACTCCTCGCGGAAGTTGGTGCCGAAGAGCGGGTGATCCAGCCACGGGTGTTTGTTGTTGCACTGGATCTTTTTGAGTCGGTCCGTGCGCTGCTGGTTTGGTTTGATCACTTCATATCGGTAGCAGGAGAGGAGAAGTGGGTGGTTGCAGCCCAAGAGACCCATGACGATTGTTTTGAATGGCCGCGTCTACACCATGAATATCGGTTGTATAGTTACACAAGCAATGACAAAGTTACGTCTGAGTTTGAGTCCGCTTTGTGTTTGTTGACTGATTATTTAATTTATCGTTTACAACACCGAACAATTTAGTGTTTCTGAAGGTTAATTTCAGTCACCCATTTTTGCTACCGCAAAATTTGCTGCAAAATACGAAACTCATTGATTTGCAAAAAAAAATACTCCACAATTACCTGTGGCACGTGGATATAGCATCAGACATCTCATAATGAGCGGTTGAGTGTGCTATGTCACCGGGGCCCACTGGAGACATGAATGAGAAACACAATCTCTCGTCCAAGTTGGAGACTAGGGGCAGCCACTAGATGAATTAACATTTCAGTAAGATATGCCTTTTGTACGATGTGTGATCTAAAGATGCAGTTCATTCGCCTAGCTTGATAAACATTCAAAAGAAGGCAGCTTAGTTATTCACAGCTCCAGGGAAAATGTGTCACTCGCCGCCCTGCAGGAAACTTCACGGCAGCACAGGAAACTAACTCGCCCGGCTTATCACGCATGTATCAGCGCTGGAATTTGATCGTGGCAATAAAAAGATAATTTAGGATGTTTCAACGTTGAAAATAATTCCAAATACACCACAGTTACGAGTTTATCGAGTAACAAAACACTTCAATGCCCATGAGACCAATCCAACTTTCCCGAGTTGACCGCTATTCTTCGCTCACCTCGCTGCAGTTTCCTGTTGGGCGGCGGCGGCTGCCACATGACTCTCGGCTCGGCCGGACACCGGTACTGAAGTCGAGTCCCGTCTGCCCCGTCGCGACCGCTGGTCTCGCCTCGCGCGCGACGCGCCGACACCTTTCTGTCGCTGGATCCGCCGCCCGCCGCCGCCCGACGCCGCCCCCGCTGACCCTCCTCCAGCGGCCCCGACCGCCATTTTGTTGGCAGCCAGTGCAGGGGTGCTAGACCCGTTCTAACATAGCTCACTTCTACATAAAACAAAATATGATAGAATTTGTCTGTTTTCTCTATATGTCGTCAAGAGACATATGAGACTCAAAAGCAGGACTGGGACGCCACCCTTTGCCCTTTTCAGCCCCCGTATTGATCCCGGCTGGGGTCGGTCGGCAAAAGGTGTATGTTGCTGGTGCCCGGGGGCACGGCGGCGGCCATGGGCCCGGCTTTACGACAGGTCGCTGAGGACGTGCGTTGCAGACGGGCCGCGGCGGAACAGGGGTGACGAGCTGGCCCGGAAACCGCCCGGACGCCCCCGGACCGGCTCTCTGCGCTCGGCAGCGCGGTCCGACACCGTTCGAATATCACCCCCGGCCGTCCTCAGCCGGAGAGAGCCGCCATTTTGGAATGCCAAGCACGACCTCTGGCTACTGCTGTCTGTCCTTCGCCGCTGCTGCGGGTCGGAGAATAGCCGGTAGTCGCCCCAGACACATAAAACGCGGCTGGCAACAAACGAAACTACTTGGCCGGCGTCTGGTGCAGGAACACAGCAGAGGGAGGTCGGGAGACAGGGTCATTCCTGGCACCCCAGCGGCCAGCGCCTCCCCTATTACACCCCCTCCCCTCACTGGTGGATAGATTAGAGCGACAGGGAGCCCAAATGAGGTTAGACCGGTCATTAAACATTGGTTACTGGCACTCTGATATTCATGAACTGCTGCGAAATATCGATCTGCTGAACGACACTTTTAATTGAACTGGAAGCCGGTGGGAATTGCAATTTCTGTCGCGTTGCAATTCACAGCACACACTAAGTGTGTCTCCCTTCAGGCGTTGCAAATTACTTGTGAAATTGGAACGACTGTTGTTTCGATTTAGCGGTAATTCCATAATGAATAAAACGCACCGAGGATGCCATTCCTCAGCAACCAAAGATTTGTGATTGGAAGCTATCTGAAGCGGCGAAGCCTTTCTTCTTTCATTTAAGGCAGTTTCAACTTCTAGTGTTACCTTTATTTTCAGGTGAACCCTTCATTCCTCCATGTCAAGTTCATCGTAAAATCAATATTCAATTATATCTCTACGCTACTTCGGAAGAGAACCTAACAAAGAACTTGCAGCAAAGCATCAGTGTAACACACTGTCCTGAAAAAATGGTTTACCTGTCTCAAAGTGTGCTGCCATCCATCATTGATACAATTAATGAATACCTGATCAGTAATCTTTATGGCAGATGGAAACATAAATGATACATTTACAAATAAGAAAAGAACGTAGCAGGCAGAAGAAATGCAAAACGCAACTGAATCACGCAACTCTGAAACGTTTCACTGCAATTGAAAACCTTCAGATCTTTCCACCATCCAATGGCATCTTTAACTTGCCTATTGAATTGGCAATTCGTATGTGTCACCGTACGCCATTGAGTATTTCGGTTTACGTGGCAGCGTCTAACAGTTCAGAAGCACACCATTGCTACGGTCACCTCTGCCGCCACCGGTCTGCAGCGCTGGTCGGTTTATGGGACGGCGAGAACGGCAGGCAATCATGTTTTATTGTGTGCACATGTCCGGCTCGTACACAGGCCGCAGCCAGCCGGGACGGCCTGGCGCCGCGCCCGTGGCTGCAGCGCCAGGAGTGCACACTGCACAGAGGACCAACGGGCCAGGGGTGTACGCCTGTAGGGGACCGACAGCGCCAGCGGCACGGGGGTCTGACGGACCAGGGGTGCAAGGGACCGACGAGACCAACGGTACAGGGGACCGACAGGCTAGGGGTGTAAGCCTGTAGGGGGCCGATAGGACCAGCGGCACATGGAGCCGACAGGACCAGTGACGCAGAAGACCGACAGCGGGGGGCCGACAGGACCAACGACATTGGGGAACCATGAAACCAGAGTGAAGGGAACAGATGGAACAGCCAGAGGTTCAAGAGCCATGTCCTCCATGTACCCTGACCAAGGTGCACAGGACAGGACATTTGTCGTCTTGAATCTGGATCAGCTACCTGCATACCTAAGGTACAGGTCTCGCGGGTTTTAGCGGTAGGTTTTGCACCTAGAAAAATTAGTGTACTTCAGGCTATATCTTCGTCGTCTTAACCTTTTAAGTGTTGAAAATGCGATCGACTTGTTGGGTAACAAGCCGGCCATGATCGTGTAAAATGGCTTCATCATAGATCGATTAGTTTCTGAGACTTAACCGGAAATGTAAAAGTGCAAAACCTACCGCTTAATCTCGCTAGAGCGGTACATACTACATACATTCATGAACAGAGGGGCACATCATATTTCTCTTCATTTCTGAATCTGCCTGACGCTCTGTAACGACTGTTCAGCTCCCTTCCGGTTGGTATTTCAGTATATAGTTTTGTCAGTCCCTGTCTGCCACAATCTATGTCGGCATGAATGGGTCATGAAAAGTGACTATACCCGGCCTGAGTGTTGACTCATTTTGCATTGTATTTAGTATTTACCTGATTTTATTGAATTCAATAAGTAGAACAGAACACTCGGTGAGCAAGAACGCATTCAACATGATTCCCGCTATACCATGTGGCTAAATTTGATGTATTTACAAATCACACCGCACACAGCCGAATTGTCATCGGAAACTTGCCACCTGAAGTGGACCAATTTAATGAAACTCGATCAGTTACTGAGACATTTCTCGTAGACTTGCCAGGCCTCGTCACAGTGTTCCGTGTTGATCCCGTAAGGTCCGCAGTGATGAATCCTCGTCTGCTCCTCGCAGCTACAGGGCGGGCCGTGTCCCACGACCTCCTGAATACAGTACCTGTGAAAAGAAATCCCACACACCATGGTATGAGAGCCAGTTGCGCAGCAATTCATTATTGCGGCAAACTAAATTTGAATGCCTACCCGTTTAGGACTTCAATACAAAGCCACGTTGCATAACTTCAACCCTAAAAGTAAGGTATAACATAACATGCATAGGTATAATATCAATCCAAATAAGACGTTACCTTGAAAATCCTGGTCACCTTCATGTTTCTATTTATCTCTTGTTTTGAAGCATTGCTTGACCCACCTAAAGCGCCCCTCGTTAGACCCACTTGGAACCTTGTTCCTAATGTTGCTGGCTGTTCGCAATTCGCATCACGGGCACGACTGGTCCTTCTCACCTGTCGATGTAGTTGTCGAGGGTCTGGTTGGCGCAGGCCCAGTCGACCATACAGTTGTAAAAGTCGCCGCCCGGTGAGCCGGCGTCCAGCCAGTAGTCGTGCGTCATGTCGTAGGGGCCGCAGTAGATGCTCATGAAGCAATAGCGGTACGGGCGCATCTCGCACTCCTCGGCCGGGCCCGGATGGCCGTCCGTGTTCTGTGAACGGAGAGAGGGCGATGCTGTTATAGCGGGTGATCTGGATTCTGACAGAGGCGGACCAGCCTGAGAGGTGCCAGGAGGCTATTAGCTGAGGACTGAGTAGATGGCAGACGATGGGAAGGTCTGATAAGCACGAGGGATGCCCTGTGGGAGCAAGATTCGAGCTTGTAAAGGAGGCAATCCTCAGTCATTGATAGGAATGGACATACGGGAAGGATAAATAAAAGCATGGATTAGATATTGGTAGGAACGTTTCAACAGCACACTGTAAACATACAAATAGTTGTCAGTAAACGTCGCGCACACGCTGCTGAAAACATCACATCTAGACACAATTGTTGCTTGCTTTCAAAAATAACTTACCTATCAGAAATTGCAATCGAGTTTTACTTCTGTAGGTTAAACAACGAATGTATGTATATCAACAATGTCATCACAGTTGGGAGGCTAGGACTAGAAGCAGACGCTACTCACCGCACAAATACACTCCCTGCATTTTTCATCGATGACATTTGACAGCACACATTGCTGACAAAGTAGAAGGAGCAGCGCTAGAAGCATAGTGACGAAGGCAGTGAAGTGCAGCGCACGAGGTCACCGAAGCAGACAGTTGAAGTCACCGGTGGAATGGAAAGTTGTCGCAGGTGCAGCGGACAGTTGCCGGTCGTGGAGAACACAGTTGCTGGCGGTGGAGCGGACTGTTGGAGCCACATTTCTACAGAGGTGCAATTTATAACAGTGCGAAGTACTGTCACATGTGGTCAAGTCGCACGCGATTTGGCATTGCGACATCCAATGCCTAGCGCTCAGGACAATGTCTGTTGCAACGGTTTGTCGCGACGCAAATACGGATACTGAATGTGCTTCTCGAAACTACGGCCTGTGTTTCAAACCAAATGACGTTTGACGAATAACATAATTACGAGCGAGCGAGCGCAGCGAGCAAAGCGAAGTCTTTTCAATATAAGGGAAAAATCTCAGTATGAGCGGCCCGGCCCGGCCCGGCCCGGCACGGCACGGCCTGTAACGCTTTTGAGAGGCTTATATCTCAGCAACCGCTGGACCGATTGGCCTGCGGTCTTTTTTGCTAGGGAGCCCCATCCCTTTTACCCCATAATTGACTACTTTTGATACATCTCAGTGACCGTCGTGGCACGTGCCACGTGAAAAGTCAAGGGTGTTCAAGTAGTTTTGCAAAAGTAATGATTTTGAGAGGCCCATATCTCAGCAGCGGCTTGAGCAATTGTCTTGCGGTAATTTTTATAGGGTAGCTGCATCTCTTCTACCAAAGGTCGGATACTCTTGATCTATGTGAGTGACTCACACTGCATGTGCAAAATACAAAAAGAAGAGGTGCCAAATTTGTTCCCATTTCAATAACTCGGTAATTACTGGGGCGATTTCGTTGAAACTTGGCATACAGGTAGGCACCCACCAGGCAATGCATTCCCATTTGTTGCGATTAGGGTGCTACTGCACGTGCGCACGTGTAGGGGGCGTTTCCAGATCTCGAGAACGGCTGGGCCGATTGCGCTCAAATTTGGTACACGGTTGGGGACCGGTTAGTAGGGTGCCGTGCAAAAGTCATTTTGGACCCGTTTGCACGTGCGCACGTGCAGAATGCCGCTTCCAGATCTCAGGAACGGCTGGGCCGATTGCGTTCAAATTTGGCACACCGCTAGCGACCGGTTAGAAGGGTGCTTTCCACAAGCCTGTTGGAAGTACCCTCTCGCCCTTCCCCACGTGTAGGGCTCACTATCTCGCTCGCTCGCTCTTCGCCCAAAAGGCGTTTTACTGGTATCATAAATAGCATGGATACCCAAAAACATGAATAGCATAAGGTGTCGCAAGAGGAGATGGTGTTTAATTAATGCAAACTTTCAAAACAGATACTCGGCTTACAGCTAAAAAACAATGTTTCAAATTTTATGAGTAGCGACTTGTCAAAGACTCTACGACACTTAGGTGTGACTTCTCCACATAAGATAATGAATTATTCATGGGCACCTGCAGCATTTTTGTGAAGTTATCTAGGCTACATTTCCATATCTTTGTTTTTATCCGTTTATCCGAGAGTATTCGGTATCCAACCAAAGATCAGGATGCATTTACTCGTTTTGGGGTGAAAATAATCATTTTCAGGAAGCCTTAGTGGTAGACCTAGCCCGCCGTAGGTACTCGACTCAGAACTCACAAAGAGTAGGCATAGTTACTTCCTTTAAATATGCAAGATAAAGTTACATATAATAAAATGAGCTTCCAACTAAACTAGTGTCAAACTTCAAAACTGATTCCGAATCCTCAAACAATTAACAGACTTCAGTAGCCAAAAACCACCAACTTATGAAGTCACACAGACATAAAACCCACGATACAAGTGTTTTTTTCTGTAATAAAATCGGTCACATTGTTTCTCAATTCGACACCCACCCGCATCCGCCAATATTGCGCAGCTATAGGAGCGATAGGCAGTCCGGGTAACGCCGAGGACTGCCGTATGCGGGACCGGGGCGACTGTTTCCAGTGGACCTACTGCGGCCCTTACGACATGGCCGAGATCTACTGGTGGGACGCCGGAGCGCCCGGAGGACAGTTCTACGACTGTATGGCCGACTGGGCGTGCGCCAACCAGACCCTCGACAACTACATCGACAAGTGAGCACTCGCTGTCCCAGGTCGGATAACATCAACGCAAAGTCATTCATTTTAAATCGGTGCGATACCCGACCATCCTCTAAAAGAAAAGAATCAGCCAGCAATTTTTTAAACGTTTTAATGCATAACTAATAGTCATGAGGCCAATTTTTATAGGCTGTAATCATTTTGTAAATGTTTAACTGCACGCCTATTTACATCTTTTCAAACCGCTGTCTTTCTTAACTCCCTTTAGGCTGCATATATCTAATTTCAATCTACTCTATGAAAAGACAGACATGGTAAATACGTCAATCGCCTTTCTGTTCACTTAAATGACATGCTCACCCGACCCAGGTACTGCACGAAGGACTTTGTGGGCCACGACCCGCCCTGCAGCTGTGAAGAGCAGGCCAGGATTCATCACTGTGGACCACTCGGCATCAACACGGAACACTGCGACGAGGCCTGGCAAGTCTACGAGAAATGTCTCAATAACTGACCGTGAAGCCTGGCATCAGTTGCAGAATGTGTATTTCATTGTTGTTGGATTATTGTCCTAATGTGCGCTTATACATCTGCACTGCATCCGTGTACTGGCTATACACCTATGTCCAAAGTAAGTGATCTGTGCGAATTGATGTGACGGTGAATACACAAATGGGAGTGGAGCATAAACATTTTCATTATCTTATACAGGTCTCGGCCCTAGGCGAGTCCACACGGAAAAAAATATTTACTCCCCTAGGTGGGGTTCTGACGTCCCAAATACAGTACCTATATTAGAGTAGATATTCGCCCTATTTTGGAGTTCTATCCATAACTCTCTAAAACTATCAAAAGGCGATTTATTACTCTCTTGGTGTTTTGAAACTCCCTTGTAAAACGCAATTGAAACTCCCTTTTAGGGAGTGAAAAATAATAGGGAGTAGTGGAACCTAAGAGGAGTAATAAAACTCCTTATTAACTACTCCTTATTCCGGAGTTATGGTCGCAAAAGGGAGTTTCACTACTCCTGTTCTGCAAGTGAAACTCCTCTAAATTTGTCTGTGGAGTAATGTCACACCGAAAACGAGACATGCTAAGTGGTTCCAAAACTCCCAAAAAGGTACTCATCCCAAATACAGTACTTATATTAGAGTAGATAAAGTTAACATTCTGGAGTTTTCCAAAAAGGGTGTGATGTCACCCCAAATATACGGGTTGAGTCACTCCTAATTTTGGGCAGGACGCACATTGCACAAGCCCCAACTGACATAATCAGAGCATTTCCAGCTGGAATTTTAACAAATATGGATCATTTATACCGTTATCATTGCAAAAAAAGTTACTATGATGCTATGACGTGACGTGTGTTGTGAGGCTGAAATAAGAACCAGTCTCTTCCTATTTCTTTCGCGCATTGGAGACACAGTTTAGCTATAGTGTAATAAATAACCAGCAGACGAAAAAAAAAATATCGAGCATATCCAACAAAAACACTGGATTATAAACAATATTTCTTCTGTATTCTCGTCAACCAAATCATGCATGTAACAGCAGATTTAGCACAAGATGGCCAGGAGCCACAAGGATTTGCCACTGGGTTTACAGAAAATCTGCAGCAGCATCCAGTATCATCCAGTATAGCAGCGTCCAGCAAGTACAGCAATGGTGAACGAAGCAGCTATCATAGATGTTAACCCTCGCCCTGGCAGGGGGGGGGGTCGATGCGACCCCACCCCCCTAAGGGTTTTCAAAGATAGCGTAAAAACGGCGGCGCGCAGCGCCGCCAAATTTGGCACTGCCTATGGGGCAACCTTTTTACATAAGACCTGAAAATTTCAGGTCCGGGTGACCTTGGGTCAAGTCACCAGGTCAGGATAACCGGTACAAGGTCATGGTCAAATTTCAATTTGTTTATGCACCTGTCCAACTCACAGTTTTGGACTGATTTCCTTCAAACTTTCAGGATGTACTAAGTTCACCGAGTTGTATAGCATATTGTTCGAGTTTTTATGTCACTGACCTGAGGTCAGTTAGAGGTCATTACGTCGTAATGTTAAGCCTATGGGAAAATATTCAATTCGGAAAATATTGAAGATATCCGCTTCGTTCTATCACTTTTGTGCTTTGAAACCACAGTACTTAACATTATGTCACTTGGTGCTTCTTTGTTTGGTGTACTTATCCAAGGGTCAGGTCAAATGAGGTCAACTGAGGTCAAATGACGTTTGTGCCGATAACTTGTCACATAATAAAGATAAAGCTTTCAAAATGGTACCATTCTGTTTCTCTTGAACAGCCGAGTCGAATGATATGCAACATTAAGCATTTCGACCATTCTTAAGACTTGTTGTACTTAGGTTGTGCTTAGTATTTCAAGTACACCTAAGCAAGCAAAAAAAGTACATCGTTCGACGCGCCTTGACGTGCTGAGTTCACTGGTGCTTTTGTTTTTGTTCTATCTTAATTAGATAAAAAGTTAGAAGCGAAAAACTTTTGACCTGTTTTAGCGTTGCACAGGGGTGAGAACTCCAGGGGGCCCACCTACCTACCAAATTTGGTGTTTCTAGGTGCCATAGGAGGCATTAATGTTGCATATCATTCTACTCGGCTGTTCAAGAGGAACAGAATGGTACCATTTTGAAAGCTTTATCTTTATTATGTGACAAGTTATCGGCACAAACGTCATTTGACCTCAGTTGACCTCATTTGACCCGACCCGTGTTATGAAAAATGACCTGCCAGGGTGAGGGTTAAAAAATGAACACATTTTTATGCAGAAACAATTGAGATGTGAGACTCTCCATAACACAATAACGCGGTCATAGGGGTGTAATTCGGCTCTCGGGTCATCTAGCGACACGCGGTAAACGGCACTTCGATAGTCAAAAATAATGAAGAAAATAATCCTGTCATTTTTAGATCATGTCAAAGATCAGGTCACCAGAGGTCATCAAAGGTCAAATTTTGCCTCTTTCAATTGTTTAAAGTTTTTGAAAACCGACGCATAACTTGGGAACCAAAAAGAGCCACAGCACCGCGAAAAGGCGCGTTCGATAGCCATTTTTAACGCTCTTTCGTAATGTGTCCTCAGATGTGACCTCAGGTCAACAGTTTAGCCTCTAGAGAGAAAAAAGAACTCCACAAATAACCGTTTTACGAAAATAATAGTGTATTTCTGTAATCACCTTTGACTCAATAGAGTCGCGACATTGCTGTTGGCAGCATCATATTCCTCTTGTCGAAACGCATTGAATGAACTATAATTTGACCTTGAGGGGTAATTTTGAAAATTTTACTTAAGGTCAAGGTCATGACTTGACCGGAAAAGGTCATGCTGCATATCGGTCGATTCTTTTCGTCAAGCTGAACACATCTGAGGTTTTTTACCGCTCTAGCATGTCTCTCAATCGATGTTATAGACTTAGAGAGTGTTTAGAACGACGTTTTCTCCCATTCACTTATAATGGAGATTGCGCAAAATTGCCCTGGCATTAGGTCATCGATATGAAAGTTCTGAGATATAGGTATATTTTATAGATTCGTTTACTTTTATCAATCGCCGAAAATTGCAATATAATCATTCAGTCGGTGTAGCTACTACGAGCATTCTTTCTGCGGTGAGGTCACTTGAAGTGGCCTGGTGACCTGACCTTTGGCGACCTGGGTCTGAAACTTTAACAACATTTGTGGGAAAAGATGCATGAGCAGGTGTGCCAAAGAAGACGGTGGCTCCACGCAGCCATTTGTGAGCTATCTGCGAAAACCACAGGGGGGGGGGGGGGGGAGGTGTCCGAACGCTCTCCCCGGTCAGGGCGAGTTAAAATCGGTATTAGTCGCTGCATCTCGCGACGGCACACATGCTCGTTTTTTTCCGCGAGCCTCTAGCTCAAGTTGGAAAGAAATGGGAAAGGGATTCGCCCCTCGACCTGGGTGCATGCAGAAAACCGGTAGGTCCGGGGACGGTTAAGGTTATACAATATACACACTGTGGCTCAGCATCCATGCACAGTGTGCATTGCACACACTGTCTCCGTTAGGGTTGTGCTGGATGAATAGACAACCACGCGTTGGACACTATTCGTTTATCCAACGTATTCCTCGTCGTGGAACGGGCTTCCGAGCGTGCTTGCCAACCATGCTTGCCAGCATTATCTGCAATGGAAAATGTTCCGTTGTGACTAAAAAAGACAATATTTTAAGTCTGCATAGGTGGGGTCAATGGGTTTCTGAGAAACTTTGTCTAGGAGCTAGGGACATTCCCAACATCCGATGAAATTTGATGCAATTATTAGGTCACTGCATTGGGCGAGGAGTGATGTTTGCTCTGCTCTGCGCTCAACCTTTGCAATTGATAACTTGAGCTTTTTAACATTTCCGTATAACATTTTATATAACTAACATTTCCATAAACATTTCAATTCCGGAATTCACGCTTGAGTGCATTTGTCTTTTGATGTGGCGGGTAATTTTCGGAAAATAATTGAGATAGGCCTATTCTAATTAAGCAATATATATACATACACTTATTTTTTCATATGCCTTCATTAAAACCAGTTTCATTGTTTAACCCTCGCCGGCACAAGGGGGGGGGGGCAGGTTTTTCGCAAATAACTCGCGCAAAAAGCGGCTGATCGCGACGACACTTTCAGTACCCTCGTGTTAATCAATTTTACACCTACCCTGATAATTTCATGACACTGACCCAAATGACCTTTGACCTGTGGCCTATTTTCCAAGACCATGTTTGGCCAGAATCGCGATTCGGCGCGGCTCGCATTACCAGCGCGTTTGCAGTCTTTTCGTGATTTCAAGCGTTCAAATATGTGATATGATGTTGGTCTCATGGATTAGGATGGGTGTCAAGGTCACCTGAAGGTCAGGTCAGGTCATTGACCTTTGGTGACCTCGGTTAAAAACCATTTGAACATTTACAAAGTAGTTTTCGTGCCTTCGTAACATGTTACGAGGCTGTCAGAGGCGGTTGACACCTACTACAAATACCCGGCAGCACCCTTACTGGTTGACCTGACCTGACCTGGCCTACATGCATAAAGACATCATCTGTGATCAAAACCAACATGATATTCGTGATCAGCGCCCCGAAAAAAAACAGCAGCCACCCTTTACGATGTTCTTGCAGGTCCCGATTTTCCCGACCTTTGGGTCATTGACCTGACCTAGAAGGTCAACCGATGACCTAGGACCTCAAAATTGGGTATCATCGGCTTCCTCTTGTCAAGGGCAACACGCTCGTTTTTTCCGCGAAGCTCTAGCTCGATCAGGGGCCAAACGCCAGGGAGGTCGTACCCCCCTTGTGCCGTCGAAGGACGCAAAATGGCCTGTGCCGGCGAGGGTTATATATAATCCAGAATTGGAGGATCAAAAGCATGCGATAGCATGCTTTTGCATCCGGAAATTCCCATTGGTGGGTCGCTGAAGAAAAGTTCGGCCAAGCCTGTTTGTCAGTATGTGAGTGAGTATGTGAGTGAGTATGTGAGTTTGTCCAAGCCTTTTTGGACCTGGAGTCAAAATGGGTGGACCGATCGGGACCAACGTGGTACCGTTCGACTCGTCTCCGGCGAGGTAAACTTTTGGTACTGGCCTCGGTTCGCTCAGTGCTTCGTGGCACATGCTATTCCGCTTCAAAGTTTCGGTGACACGAAATTTTTTGTCAAGGCTACAGGTCAACCCGAGGTCACGGACAAAGCCACACTGGCGGGACACATCGGTAACACCTTGAACCAGTTTCCAGGGGGGTCACCGTCTGCGAGGGGTGCAGGCTGCACGTGCTGGGGGCGGAAAACCGTTTTGACGTGAGGTCCTCTGGCTCAAAGAAATTTTGAGCTATCAACCTCAAAATCGGTTCAATGGTAGTCTCAGGCAAGGCCTCCAAAATAGTGCACATTTGGTTGAGCTAAACTCTGTGGTGCATGAGCTATGCACGTGCAAGCCGATTGCACCCCTTCGTGCGTTGCCACGCCTGCAGGGTAAACGGCCGCTCTAACTGGTTCAAAACTTGCAGGTCATAAGAAGAATACATTGAGTCGTAACATTCCGGCGAGATAATATCCCAGGGGTGCAAGCTGCGCGTGCGGGGGGCGGATAACGGTTTTGACTAGGGATCCTCTGATCCCGGGAAACGTCGATCTAGCGACACAAAAGTCGGTACACTGATAGAACTAGACACACGCTACATGATGTTATGAAAATGACTGCACTGGGGTGCCTGGGACATGAACTATGCACGTGCAGTTAATTCATACCATACTGTAGGAAGATATCCGCACCAATCTCACGTGCTTCGAAGCATTTTTGGGATGTTTCGTTTGGTTTCAGGTTCAGTCCAAGCTCAGTCTGGGGGCCTGTTCCAGCGCCTCCAGAAACCTCCAGAAAGCTCCAGAAAGCTCTAGAATCCTCCAGAGAGCGTTCCAGCGCCTCCAGAAAGCTCCAGAAAGCTCTCGCCAAAGCTCCAGAAACCTCCAGTAGCCTCCAGAGAGTTGAGAGGTCCAAATTTCTCTGGAGGCTCTGGTCTACAATTATGGTGCACATGTGACAATCACGAATGTAAACAAAGGACATTTGACTGATTATTTTACAACTTGAATGTAAAGAAAATTACATTGCTATAATTTTATTTATCTTTTTAACTAAAATTGAAAACAAATTTTGCCTTTCAAGAGAGAACAATCGTCATTCTTTTGGTATCTATGACGCCAATCTCCAGAAATCTCCAGATTGCGTTCCAGCGCCTCCAGTAAAACCTCTGGTAGAGCCTCCAGTCAAGAATTTCTTCTGGAGGCGCTGGAACAGGCCCTGGGTTTCGGTGGTTTGGCCCGGTGTGTGCCCTCAGTACCGTTCCTCCAATTCTGGCCCAAGGCAACGCAAGAGCGCTGCCGGCATCTAGTATCACACGGGGCCGGTAAAATGTTTCATTCAGGACCGAGGGATTTGTTGAGTTTTCCGCACGAGACCGAAGGTCGAGGGCGGAAAATTCAACAAAGCCCGAGGTCCTGAATGAAACATTCCGGCCCAAGTGTGATATTTATTTTAGCATATGCCGTTTAATTTCCATATTTAAGCTTCTTTAACAATTTTACATTCTTGAAAGAAGTGGAAAAACCAAGACCGAATATCAAGAACTAAAAAATGTACAGATTCCCTGACCAAGATAATAAACCAAGCCGACTCATCCTTGTGTCTGGCTGTGAGTTGGATTTCTATCAAACCAAGAACATCTACTTCAATCTATGTCATATGAGAAGCTAGAGTAACGTTCGTTTTCAATATTAGAGAAGAGTGGAAGGTATACCTACAATCCTGTGAAGTGAGTGCTTGGTTTTCTACCCATGTCAATATGAATAAAGTTTTTACTGATCAATGTGAAATGCGTTTTTTTTTTGTCAATTCATTACACTTGTAAAGGGCATGAAATTGGCGCTACAGTAGGTGATTAATTAATCTGTCAGTACATTAAGATTTAAAATATTATCTTATTGAAAACCAACATTTACAATCTCTTCAATAATTCAAAGCGACCAAATGCAACACGTCAGTTAACGTTAGATTTATATCAGTAAGTTAAGCTCTTTTCCAGCGCCTTCCTCCGCCTCAGGAAATGCTTCAAAAGTTCGCTGGTAAAATGTTTTGCCCATGGGCCGAAACCGTTGCTCAATTGACTTCAACATTATGCGGTTTAATCCAAAAAGCTTTTACCGCACGCACGCGCTAATGCTAAAGACATACTCCGGCATATGCTAAAAGTATAAATTACCTTATGAAAAGGCTACACTGAATATGGGGCATGGATCATGCAGCACAGATAACGAATGACATTCAGGTACTCAGATTATTTTTCAAAGAAAGGAGCAAAATAGAACAAAAAACCGGAACATGTAAACCATTACCCCGGGTTTCCAAAAGCTGTAAATCCTACTTAATAAATTATAAGTTGTCATTATCGCTGTGTCATGCCTTATGTGTCTTAAAGCGCCGGAACGGCGCCGCGTATCGACGTGAAATTTATTGGGCGCAAATCTTTTATTAATTTTCGTTTTCAACCCTTGTATATTCTGCCATGACAAGTCTACGACAAAGGGGAACAGGCGGTGATGACGTTCATTGCATTATCTAATTTTGCCAAAAGTGTATAGCTACCAAAAAAGAATGAATCCGGGAAGAGCCGGCATAGGTACTGGACGTCAATATTTTGGGCAAAGAAAAAAACATTAATATGTCACGAAGCAAATATAACTGTTGAACGCTTCTCCAAAGTCGCAGCGAGAAGGGACTTGCCTGAATTGTGAGCTCGAAGATCCTGTCAGTTATATGCAGTGAGATGATAGTTGCTGCTGCGAGAGCGTCGTCTCCGAGCGTATCGTCACCACTCCCACCTTTTCCTGCACCACTCTCCGCCGAAAACTCTCACAACCCACTGACAGTCCACTGACACCACCACCGGCATGTTCACTGTAGGCGCAACTGCCAACCGACTGCTGCCTTGAAAATGGCGTCGAATAACGCACGTGCATCAGTGCCGCGATGGCGGCAAAACTCTTTCAAGAGGAGTTTCAGGTCTTTTTTCGGAGTTCAGTTACTCTTCTTTTCTTTTGACTGTCCTCTCGGTTCTTCGTTAACTCCCTTTGCGGTGAATTACTCTGCATTGCGTACTTCCATGCTTATTCGAACTGTCACAGCAGAGTAACAAAACTCCGACCGGGTTTGTATACTCCGAGCGGTTATGCATGGGGAGTAAATGAAATCCCAATCTCTTTCCTTTACTCCGACAGATAAAGTGAGGTACTTTTATTACTCTTCCTCGCCATGAAATACTCCAAAATGAATGGTATATGAACACCATCAAAGGGAGTTTTCAAAAAAAGGTGTATGTAAATCTCTCGCGGAGTAAATATTTTTTTCCGTGCATGACAAGAAACTACCTCGGTGGAGGGAGCAGAGTTTACATGTTATATAACCAAAGGAAGCCAATGCATTCGGAGAGGGGTGTGTCCCCAATCTCCGTCACAGGTAACGCCATGCCATTCCTTATCGGGTGGTGGCACAGGCCTTTAGTGACGCCCCCGCCTTTGGTAAGGCCCTGTCCTTTGGCGACAGGAGCAGGGAAGGTGCTGTGCCCCCGTCCCCGACAATAGGGGCTCTGTAGGTGCCCTGACCCCTGACGACAGGAGACTGCTAGGTGTCATGCTCCCATGCCTGGCCGTCACAGCCGTCAGGCCATGACGCAAATGGCGTCTTTCTCCGAACCCCGTATCAGCCTCCGTGGGAGCCGCAGTCTGGTGTCGAGGCCCTTGTGATTTGCACCGGCCCTATTCAAGGTGCTCTGAATGATAACCGAACAGGAACAAAACTGATGACGTTGGAAAAACGTGCTATAGCAGTTTCATTGTAGCTGTCTGAAAAGTTTTGATCGTTTTTTTCATGGTCGTGATTAGAGTTTGTAGCCAGGTGGGTGTTTCTGCTTATTTAGTAACACTGTCGCGTGAGGCTGACACGAAATTTGAAGGACACAAAAAAAAAAACGACAGGCTTTCGGCAATGAATGAACAAATGGAAACGTATTTGGTGTGTTTACTACTGATAAGTAATAGCTTAGCTTTTATATTCATTCATTTTCCTTGCGAGCTATGACACAAGCGTGTTATAAATAGAAGAGTCAATGACATAGGCGATACGTCATTTTTCCCGAATTATGATTTTAAGAAGGACGACGGAAGCTGACGTCACGGCCACGCGTCGTGATAACAGGATGAAAACGAAGCGGTATCGGTAGCCATGATGTGGAATCCTCAAAATGTTATTCCGCATCAGTTTGTATCATCTAATATACAAATGTCTTCAAAATATACTATTTTTCAACGGTCCCGACTGAATAAGTAATCTGGAAGGAAGGGAAAAGAAACGTCGAGCATTCGCACATCACAATGTTCATCTGGAAATGCATGTGATTGAGCCCTTTTCAGATCTTTCCGACCTTTTCATTTTTCTTTTTTAGCTACATTACCTGAGCTGTAACTATGGATAGGTAGCGTATATGAACGTGCATGTCTACAATTACAGGATCCGAGCCTTATGAATTGTGATATATGATTATTCGACATCATTTATACGTTTTGTTTTAAAGTGTTGCTTCGAAAATAACGTGTGGCGTCCGTGCGTGTGGCACACTTTTCGACCACATTTTTTTCTCTGGATAATATCAGTTTGACAGCTTTTCTAGTCTACCATCGGCTACGCTAATGCATCAATGTATGAACATTATGTCAGTTTGGTAGCAAGCCTCCTATCGCCAATTTATATCAAGTATCCAATGACTCTCAAATATGGCCTTAAAAGGCTTAAGATTCTTATACCCAAAGGCCCACACTAATGTCAAGCCATTAATGTTTGAGGCCTTGTATTCGGGGGAAGTAACGCATTTAGACTTGATAAAGGAGGACCGTGCCGGCTGAAATCCTATGATATAGACTGAGACTGAGGGGTTGGGGAGGGGGGGGGGGGAGCAGCAGACCCGGAGACCGGAGGCCTCGCCTGTCCGGGTCCGTGAGATTCGACCAGCTGCGGCTCAGACAGCCCGCCGGCTGGCCGCCCCCCCGATCCACGTTATAAGTATCGCCGGCCGGTGCGACTGCGCAGATTCTCGCCGTGACTCGACCCACCGCGCCATCACCATGCTGAAGATGCTGCTGCCGCTGATGACTGTGCTGCTGTTGTGGCAGAGGGCGGCCTCCATGGAGGAGCTCTGTCGGGAGTGCCTTTGTGCGGTGAGAACAGTGACAGATTCGTCGCCTTCCTGTCAAAAGCTTACTTACTGAGAAGTGTCCATAGGTGAAACCGTAGCACAACATCCATGTTCGACTACCCTGGCCTTTAAAACCTGCATTTTTAAAGTTACATGATCTGAAATTCCCTGTTTGGCCGGCGCGCATGTTACAGAACTCTGGCGGCCGGATCGGAGACGTGGCCAGCTGCGTGATGCCGGTGTCCACCGACTGTCTGGACGGGGTCTACTGCGGACCGTACGGCATGACCATCCAGTACTGGATGGACGCCGGCCAGCCGGGCGACAACTTCTTCGACTGCATGGGAGACTGGAGCTGTGCCAACAAAACCCTAGACAACTACGTCAACAAGTGAGGGACAGCAGATAATGGAAGGATAGCTAGCTCATGATGATTTGATCATGCATTGTTTGCTTTGTTTATGGGAGGGTACCTATTGGCTTCTAACTTGTTAAGCTGCAGACCTCAAAGTCTTTTTACCTCCTGTGTTTGACCTGTTTACGATCTTGACTGCCTTTCATTTCACGCTTTGTCCCGAACTCAAAATTCTTATTAAACCGAGAAAAGCATAATTGAGTTAGATGCAGATAATTGAAGCCTGATTGGTAAGTAGCGATGCATCATTGTATTGTATCATTTTTATTTATTTATTTTTTATCTTTTTATTTATTCATTTATTTATTTGTTTCATATCCTTCCACGCAGGCACAGTTACCTATTTCAGGATGGCATATGATCAGTGAACCACTTTGTACCTACAATGCACATGCACTTTCCTCGAGCCGCGTTCAAGTTCACTAAAGAGGAGAAAAAGAAAAACAGGACCAGGGCAACACCTTAGGCCACTTCAACATCAAACTACACATTTCGTGGTGGCCTGATCGCCCACTTAAAAGCAAATATGCTGGACATGCCTAGGATCTCTCGGGGCAGCCGGTTCCATGCCGAGCCAGCCCTGTACATGAAGTGTTTTTGAGTGGCAATAAGCCGCACTTTCGGTGGGTGCATCTGCTCTGTATCTGTCAGGCGCGTGTCACGAGTCGCCACATCACATCGACGTTTGAACATGTCTCGCACCACGATTGGTGCATGGGGATCGTAGATAGCGCGGTGCACCTTCAGTCGATTATGCTCCTCAACCAGCTCGCCAATCCGTGACCAGTGGAGCGGTGTGATGTGATGACGGCGCCTCGAGCGATCCGCAAAGTTAATAATTGTTTTTGCAGTCGCTCTAGTTCTTTGTCGGCAGCTCCGCCCTAAACTGGTAAGCAGTAGACAATTTGAGGAAAGATATGAGCTTTGATAATGGTAAGCAGGGCCTCAATATTGAAGCTACGCGGCTACGCCCGAATCTGTGAAGGGAAATCAATATGCTGTAGCAACGGCGCACAACTGATGAGATGTGTTGATTTCATGTTGATATCTGGTCAATAGTCCTTCACCAAGAAGTTTGGTCGTTTTTGAAGACTGAAAGGTTCTGTTTGAGAACGTGAAAGCGAAACCAGCTGCTTTTTGAAGCGAGTTCTTGGTGCAAAGGAGGATGAAATCTGTTTTTGATGCATTAATTTTTAGAGAATTACTTCAAAACTATAGTAGTTTTGAACAGAAGCCATTGACTTTTCTATGCGCTTTCTGAGCTGTGACAAACTTACTGTCTGGCGGCGAGCTGTCGAGGAGCTGCGTGTCGTCCGCATAGCAAACCAAACGGCAGTAGGGGAGATGTCCCGGAAGATCTGTCACAAATATACTGAACAAAATAGGTCCCACTATAGATCCCTGAGGAACACTAAAGTCACAGGACAGATCATGGACCCACCTCGTACCATTTGCCCCTGTCCGCTTAGGTAACTGTCGAAACAGTGTGAAGGCACGCCCATTGTATTGTATTGTATTATATTGTATTGAGTATGGTATTATTCTTACCCCGGCCTCCCCATGCACCGGTTTATGGCATTGACTGTGTTTGTGCGTCGCCCAGATACTGCCAGACCATGTTCGTGGGCCACTCTGCGCCGTGTAGCTGCGAGGAGCAGGTCCGGCTCCACCACTGCGGGCCGTACAGCATCCACGCAGCCTTCTGTAACACCTTCTACGACAACTACTTCGAGCCGTGCATCAGGTCGGCCTGAGCGGAGGCCCTTTTGTGACCCTTCCCCCTTCGTCGTCTCACATCAACCCCAACAACACAAACCTACCGGCGTCACCAGGAGAAAGACTCCGAGCTTCCGGTGACTTTGATTCACCAGAACCAATGGCTGCACCTTAGTCCCAGCAAAGCCAATATCTCTTACAGTAACAGTTGACTGAAACGAAATGTTGTAACCTGCTTTACATCTAGTACATGATATACGTAAATACATTATATTTGATATTGTTTTGTGTGTTTTTATGGACAAACCAGCCCTTTATACGCATCAGAGCATATTTGTGACACAGGTAGGATGCACATCATAGTCACACTGAGTGAAGAAGGTACGGTCAAGGTCCTGACCGATGGGATGGCGAGCTTAGTCACAGTTCACACCATCGTTCAAACAGCTCTAAAGGATCCAACAGGCATAGGGATCCACGACCTAGATGCAAGGTTCCTCAATAACATCAATGCCCACTGGAAGGAGGACAGCAGCTACCAAGCTGCCGCTCGTGTAGTCCGGAAGCTGCGGGTGGTGAATGACTTCGTCAGGTGCGGTCTTACCCCTCAGATCTCGGCACGTTACTTGCCGATTTTCAAAATTCAAACGGCGTTTGATAGCCCCACCGTGGAACTACCTGGTCATCCAATTTCTTTTAACTCGATTCAACCGATGACGTCACAGGTCAGGTCAAAGATCGCATTTTCACCGTTTACAGGCACTTACAAAAATGTGTTATACAATCGAGTAAAGGGCATGTTATTGGAACTAATCGATGGAGAATTGTTCACCAAACACATAGGTATTTTGCTATTTGAGGTCACTGATACCATACCAGGTCAGGTCACAGAGGTCATGCCACTGAGGGTTACAATATGAAAGTATCGTGTGATGCATGTTTTATGGTCCATTTTACATGACAAATGCGATTATGTGGGTCAGACAGCCTTTGAGGCCAGTTTAAGTTGTGTTTTGGTGAAGGCCAGTTCAAAGTCAGGTCAAATTAGGCCAAATTTCAAACTTGATAATTTTGCATGAAATGGTACCTATCGATTCGATGCAGCTCGTCACGGGGAGTCTAATGGTGGCCTTTGTTTTGCACTGCGTGGTCTAGAATCGCTAAAGATAATTGAGTTTGAAATTTTGACGTTATAAATCTTAAGCAGTTTTTTCGCTATGATTTCGCCAAAGAGAAGTACCTATCGTTCTCAAAATTGGTAAGTGGCTAGAAAACGGCTAGGACTATATAATGCATATTCCGTTTTTCGAAATTCGAAAAACTTATGGGATTTTTAGCTGTTATATAAAAAAAAGATTTAGGGGGATGAAATTCCGAAAATTTCAAAAATTTGAGATAGCTGTTTGAGATAGCTCCTACACCTTTTATGTTTTAAACATGTTTATGCATCTTCAAAGCTGTAGGCCTGACAGCTTTTCCCGCAAAACCTTTTTTGGCGCCGAAAATGGCAGAACATTACATCATTCTGACGTCATTTGTGGCCAACCTATCATAGCCTCTGGAAAAGTGTTTGGTCGCAATATGTAAAATAGATGCCCAAATAGAACCTGAACGTTTGGTGACGATATTTGCAGTAGTTTAGGAGTTACCTACGGAAAAGGATAGGGGTTGGGGCGTTTCGCCTTCCCCCTACGGGGCGCAGGTTAACCCGCGTCCCTGAGGTCTGGCAGGTTTCACGTCCTGCTGTAGGGGGGGGGGGACAAAACGCCCCGTCGTATCTCCGGAACCAATAGCCGGGTCAGAAAAATTAAAACAACTTCGAAAGAGCTTATCAAGATGCATAAGAATGAAGATAGGATATCGATGACCTCGATATTTGACCCGTGACGTCACAGGGAGGTCAAAGAAGGTCAAACCAGTCCATTTGCAATGGCGAGAAGTCGGTCATAAAAATAAATTTAGGTTTCTAAAATGAGTCTGGATATGATGTATAAAATATTTCTGGCATGTGGACTGTCATCTGAATGGATTATAACCTGTGACGTCACAAGAGAGGTCAGCCTCGAACAATCAAAAGACACTTGCGTGAATCTTAGGGAACAGCATTCTGAATTGTAAATATTCGAGTCTTTGTGGAGGCATGTCATATATATGATGCCACAGAAATCTCCCTGATCATTTTTCGTGGACCTATGATGTCACAGGAAGGTCAAAAAAGATCAAAGTGTACCGGCTAACAATAAAAACATTTTATTTAACAAAAAGTGACTTTTATCACGTAAAGGACCATATGTAGTCAGCAAGAGGTCGATAAGCATCATGCATATTACCCTAGACTGATTTTAACACTCGCACCGACGCACTGTGGGGTTTTTATCGATCCTAGCACGAATTTATTTATATCGCATCCTCCGCTACCTTAGGACTAATTTTATTTCACCTTCAAATGGTTAGGCTTAGGGTGTATGATCCCTGACAACATGGTTGGCTCTCCTGCTTGACCCCATCCCTCCCCCGCCCCCTCCCACGGACTTAGCACTGAAGCGTTTTCGGCTAGCAATGCATCGTGGGCGTGGAAGCGTTAAAAAAGTAGAACGAAACTACAATCGTTTTAGAAGTAGATATTTGTTCATGTCTAGCCCAATCACCAAAAGGCATTTCGGGCTTAACCTTTGCACTTTGTTAGTCCTTGCACTTAAAGGGGGAGGGGGTCGCACAGACTTCTGTCCTCGACTTTTCGCATACTAACTCAAGCAAAACGTGGCGGATCACGACGAAACTTTCTATACATTCGATTCGATCAATGTTACTCACACACTTAAAATTTCATGACCTTGACCTTAAAAAAAATTGACCTGTGACCTGTTTCACCAGACCATGTCAGGCTGGTATCGATTTGGCGCTTATCAGCGCACATTATCGGCGCGTTTTCAGTCTTGCTGTGGTTGTTAACTCTCCAAGGCATGAAATGCTGTTTGTTCTTTGCATTTTAAGGTCACGTTAAGGTCAAATCAAGGTCATTTACCTTAGATGACCTTAGTTGACTTTTTCAAGTTATACGATTTTTCTAGATAAGTGCTTGGAGCTTATTTCGAACTTAACACCCATTTGAAGATTTAAGTAGTTTTGGTGCCTAACGGAACATGCTATACGAAGCCGTCAAAGGTAATCGACGCCTACCTTCTATGGATAGCCGGCAAGACACCTACTGGTCGGGCCTGACCTGACCCGGCCTAGCATGAAAACATCATCCTTGATCAAAACTAGCTTGAAATTCGTGATTAGCACCCCAAAAACCTCCAACCTCACTTTACAAAGTTACAGCATTTTTCGATTTACCTATATCAAAGCTCTGTTCTGAAGTTCAATAAGGTGAACATTGGCGGCGATAGCCAATAAAATGGACGCAGCGTTGCAAGGGTGTTGTTGTTTTGTTCAAAAAGAACATTTGGCGAAAGAAAAATAATGTCAACATGGTATCACCCCTTTCCTCCCTCCTCCCAACTCCTATACTGACCGGAAACCCCCAGGCGGTGTGCTGCGGTCGGGTAACCCGCCGCGGCGCGGCCCGGCGCGGCGTAAGAAACCAGGCGGCACCGTCTGCTTTGACGTCTCATAGTGACTGGTTTAGGCAAATTTCGGCAAAAAATGAGAGCTGCCCCCGATGCAGAAATTATTGGAGAACATTTTGATATACATTTCCACGCGTAACACCGCGTATCAAACTTTGTAAGGCAATAGTTCGCTTGTCAACTCTCTGAACCAAGAAGCATTTTAACATCTTAAGCTTTTCGGTCAAAAATTATACATTTGGATGAATTTTGGAAATTTTCGTGCATACCATCATCTTCCTTATAAGTCAAAGATAATGAAAACATGTCGCAACTATAACCTGCTGTTCAGGGAAACGAGTGAGAGGGCGTTTTATTGTAGTGTGCTTTTTCGCTGTATGCAGGTAGCACGACGCTGGTCAGGACGAAGCTACACTTTGAGAGTTTTTTTGAGGCATAAACAATCATTTTACAGACGAGTTAAGGTGTGATTCGGATGCGCTGGACAATTCTACGTGGAATGAATTTGGAATGAATAACAAAAAAATGGAAATCGAAATACTTTAACTTGCCACTTAACGCGTGCTAGGATGGCCTAAGTCCCCACGGTGCGACGGGGGTCTGCGCCAACTTCGTACCGACAGGGGGGGTGGATGACCACCCCCCCCCCTGAGATCTCGAGAACGAAGCAAGATAGCGACAAGCGGTAAACGGCATCGGATACGCACGGACAAGGTCTACAATTTTTACTAAGGTCATTTTCAGGTCAGGTCAAAGATAACGTCACAGGGGTCAAAAAAGTCAAAATGGCGGCGCTAGATATGGAGAGTTTTTCTCGAATAACTTTCGAATTAGTCATGACAGGAACAAACTAAGGGCATCATCGTGATCCTCTCGTCAATCCGCATCAAACGATATATAGGTATGTTGACCTCGAAAGGTCAAGGTCAAAGATTGACCTCAGGTCACGTGACCTCGAGGTCATCATGTATATCATTCGATGCGTCTTGACGAGCTGAACACAATGAGACCATCCGCGCGGCTGTTTCTTGTTCCTGTACGGAGTAATTGGCAAAAAATCTTTGGTGACCTTTGATGACGTCACATGACCTTACAGCCGCCCAAAAGCAAAACAGACCTCAAGGTAGTGAAGTTTGATCGTATATGAAGTCATGTATGGTATATGGGGCCATTCCGACCCGTTTTATTGGTAAAAGCAGGGAGTTGATTTTTTCCCCATTGACTTATAATGGGGAGGTCGCGAAATTGACCTGACCTTAGGTCATCGACATCAAAATTCCGAGATTAACAAATTGTAGCTACTAATGACCTAATAACATCCTGCAACTTTCAAAGGCCTCCGACATCTACTGTAGCTCTGGCACGGTGACAAAGTTGCCAAAAAGTGACTTGAGGTTGGGTCATTCAAAGTGATCTGGTGACCTGACCTTCAATGTTAGGAGGTTCAAACTTGCACACCATGTGTAAAATTGATGAGAAAATAGTCGTACCAAATTTCGCGGCGCTACGCGCCGCGGTTTTCCCGCTATCCGCGAAAAACCTCAGGGGGGGGCGGGCGGATATCCACCCCGCGTCGGTGCGCGTGTTAAGTATACAAATACCTACTGAAATAGAGCTGAAACTAAAAAATAGGACTATATCGAGCCAAATTCAGCAATTCAAATGACCCCTTCATTTGAACGTGAAGGATTTCCTCTGATGACGTCACCAC